TCCTGACGCCACTGATGCAGTTAACAATATTCGTAGTCGCGCTATTAATTCTGATCAATCTCTTGTTGTGGGATTCGACTGTGAGTGGGTGTACAACTCTGTCACGCATCAAATTGTAAAAATTTCGCTGGTACAGGTTGCATGTAAAGATGCTGTATGGCTTTTTCGTTTGAAACCGTCTTCTGGGTGCGTTCCTGCCGCTCTCGCTTCTCTAATTCGTGATCCAAACATCATCAAGACCGGCCGCAACGTCAAGGGAGACCTTAAAAAGCTCAACCGTGATTATGGAATCACTTGGAACGGAGCATTGGAACTTGGCGGCTTCTGTAGAAGGCGAGGTGTAATCGAGCGAGGAACATTGGGTTTATCGGCCATATCTACAAGAGTACTCGGATCCGGTTTGCGTAAAGACGCAAATTTGCGCTTAAGTAACTGGGAGTCTACACAACTGTCGAGCGACCAGATATACTATGCTGCCTTGGATGCATGGGCATCTTTACAAATATTCGATACAACGAAAAACTTAAGTACCTTTGGCGAATCAATCCGCACACCGGTAGCCAACCTTCATTGTTCGTTGCATTATCTCGATAATCCAGTCGCATTCGGATATGTTAGTGATCCGACAATTCACGACGATCATATAACATTTACTGTCAACAGAATCAGCGTGCCGGGCGCTGTTGTGAAGATAAAGAAGCTTGTTAACGGCAAACATGTTACAAGAATGAAGGCCTTGTCCGATATGGGAGACGTACCATTTGCAATTCAAGCTCCAGTGGCCCACCTACGCACCGAGAATCCAAGATTATGCACACTCTTGCACAGCGAAGTACCTGTCAATGATTTCGCAGTTGACGTCGAGCGAATAGCTTCTACTGCCGTGAATACCAGCAACAATCAAGAAGCAAATGATAGCCAATCCGTGTCGTCGTCGTCTTCTTCAGAAGATGAAGCTAATTTGCCTGAAACGACACATTTATTTACACAACCAACAACCACCATATCTGCAAATCAACTCCTGGTAGCATCAGTAACCCCATCACAAACCATTCGACGTATCAGCAACCCAAGAATTCTAAAAGATATATTCCATCTAATGGATATGATCAAAATCTCAAAACGACATGGTCTTGCAAAAGAGTTTTCCCGTCGTCTTCGAGATGCCATTTTTATAATTAACAATGAAGATCGTCAACGAATCGAGAATCACTTACGCACACAAGGCCTTTCATGGGATTATATGCTACTTCGCAAACCTGAATGGATTTTACGAAGAGTTCGACGAAGCGTCCCCCCAGCTGACGAGCTTCATTCTGTTGTTCAGAACTTGTTTGCCGAGTATGGTCGTCTAGAATGTGCAAAAACCGGTAGACCACTGTTTGACAAGAAAGCTTGGGATCAAGCTCGCCGTATTCTAGCAGCTATAGAAGCAGGAGAGGTATCCGATCCGCCTGGAATCTCGCTATACTTCAAAATTGGTGTCGATAAGCACAATCTTCCAATGTATCGATGCAGCCGAGGAACAAACTCATTAGAAGGTGGTGTTCACCAAAATATTATTCGCAAGTTTGGCTCTTTTGGTGCAGGCCCACAAATGACTGATAGTATGTTGGCGGACTACCGATTACGACATAATATCGACGTAAGTAACTTTTAGACAGCTATGGTATTATTTAAAATTTTACTTATACTTAGAGTATTTATATCGCATTTAGGTTGGTACAAAAAGTAGACATGGAAAGATACACCGAAGTCACTACGATCCATGGCTGCTGCAGATCATATGTGACAAGCTTCTACTGCTCGGCATGGATAATGGAGAACGCGATGATAATCATCCTTCCAGTACACTCATCGTTAAGAACTCCTTGTATCTTAAAATGTCTGGAGAATCATTTGGTATCGCATCCTTTCCACCTCATGCCGCTCAGGATATAAATATTCAAAAAGTTTCTCCGGATCCAGATAACCGACGTTCCGATCCACTTCTGGCGCATAAGCTCAGTGTAAATATCCCATTGCCCAAGGGATCGACCAGTAACGTGCAGCGACAAATGTATATTTATATTGCATCAAAGCTCCAAACAAAGTACGCTGTGACACCTGTTCACACTCCTAAAGAGTATACGCTATTCTCATCCTTACTTTCCAGCGATGGCGACCAGCAAGTTTCATTGAACTGGAAGCAATGGCTCAGCAGTGGAATCGAGAACACGCAAATGGAATCGATGTATTTTATAAAACTGCCGAAAACTTAAAAACACATTATAACGCTTGGTGCACCAGTCAAGTTGCTGTACGATCCATCAGAAATAACGACAACGTAACGTCTACAATGCGACAACAGCTACAATCACCAGGAAGGGAGAATACCTTGATGCCCTCTCCAAATTTACCAGTCAATGCAGAGGTCATTCCATCTAGCACAAATTCGCTTATGTTCCCTCCTCTATTTTCTAATAACCATTTGTCATCTCCGTCTTTACCCTCGGCTTCTAACTATTCATCACCGTCAACAGCATTATTGCCAGCTTATCACCAACCACAAATATCTACTTCTGAGCGACCACCCCACAACATATCTCATCCACCAGCTAACGTCTCACTACCATTGCCACCACCACCTCTTTTTACTTGGTGTCCGTACCAACAAGCGCAACAACTTTTTTATGGGCAACCGCAATCGACACATACAGCAACCGTTCCGCCAACTCAACCTCCGCCTCCAACAACGACCGCATTTGCACAGCAATTACCTGCTGCATACCGTCAAGTTATACCAAAACCAACATCAGCAGCATCATCATCAAGAGTAATCCCTCAATCTACTTGGAAACTGCCTAAGTACCGTACACGTATTGATAAACCAAAACAATAGTTACATATATCTTCTTACTATATCATATCACCGTATTTCTCTATCTGTCTATAACAATTAAAATGGCAAGGATATATATTTCCCCATTATTTGCAGCTTTTCCTCTCTTCCTTCTTATCGTGATAAAGCTCAATCTTTCATTTTTGGCAAGCGCGCGCGTTGCCAAAAATGAAAGAATTAATTCCATCAGGTCCGGACATGTTACCCATGCCGTTTTTTTTGGATTTTTCCAAAAAAGTTGCAGATATACGAGGAATTGCAAACCCGGGGTTGCAAAAACCGGGGTACAACTGTATAATATGTATGAGGTACTTGTATTTAAGTATCAATCTTTCTGTTGGGAAGCATCACTATATTAAAGATTTAGTTGTCAATATGTCTGCTATATAACTATAACATAAAATGTACTTATATTATTTTTATCATAGGATTATATCTTATAGTCAAGAGTATAGGTTAAGAAAACTATAAGCAATATACATAAAAGGAGTTAAGAAGTAGCAAAAAGTACAATGAGAACGGACAATAGAGGGTGGCAGTAAGAGACGAGATTTGACAGAAGACATAAAAGGAATTGAGAAAAGAAAAACGAAGGAAGAGGGAAGAAGTGAAAAGAAAAGGGAAAAGGGAAAAGGATTAGGTGCATATAAGGAAGTCGATTTTCAACCACACTTTAACCTTTATGCCTTCTTTAATACATGTGATCCCAAGCCATTTCTTTTGTGATGGCAGAAAACCCTTTACCTTTAAGAATAATCACACAAAACGTAAATGTTGCTAGCACTGCTAGGAATTTGCGTGCCATCATCTTAGGGAGCTGTGTATATATGGAGTTTTGCACTTTCAGTACTCAGGTTCAGGTTGATTGACACTTCCTTCGTCACCAAATCGAAATCAGTATTGACCCGTCAACCCGAGTTTTGACCCGTCCGATTGCGACCCCTATGCTATGCGCATCACATACCATCTTATTCCACAAAATGTATAGCAGATAATTATTACACGCTCATAACAACATAGTAAAAGTCATCTATTATAGTGAAAATTTGTGTATAGATATTGAAAATTATCAACTAAAGTTGTTATGTTTAATTGATCCTGCATGTAAGGATGGACTACCCCAGTCTATCTCTTACATCTCTTTATCTCAAAATCAAGAACAATAGTGTACTTCGTCTAAGTATTCCTGATATTGGATAAAAAAAGAATTTCATTCTTTTATTATGCTAAGGTTTAATTAATAAATTAATTATTTTAAACCTTTTAGATCAATATAAATACTGATTATTTAGAATTATAATAGGAAAATTAAAAAATTAACTTTTTTTAAAATATCTTATTTTTTATAATTCACCATTACTAGGATCAGTCAGTGCGTATCAATCAGGTTGCTTAGCAGCAACAACAGTAAGAAGGCCTAGAACAACCTGAGCTCTAATAGTCTTAACAACATAAGGCACTATGTAGTCATGGAAAGCGTTATATGTTAATCCTTTTCATCGACGCACTATGTACATCATTCTATCGTGCTGTTATGAATTGCGTGCTAATTATCATTACGTAGTTTGCTATGCGTACCACTACAACTTGCATGATTATAATGTGGTATGTAAGCAGCGAAAAACTCAAAGTGCGCATGAACGACGATAACGAGCAATGAAGGGCGAAAAAAGGACGCTTCAGAACAATACACATCAACGTAATGGACTCGCTATAAACTTTTCAAAAGTCAAACATTGCAATTTTATCTAAACCGGGATGCATAACGAGTTTTGCTGGGGTTCGCTGGTGAAGGTATTTGTTCGGACTTGTTATTGACCGCTTGAAAATATCACATGCATTTTTTGGTCTAAACAATATCGTTGATTGAGCGCTAAAACAGTGCTAAAATAATACAAATTAGATATGGTAGTGACGAACGAGAAAGCTATTGTGAAAGATACAAGAGATAGCGTTAAATTTAAGAAATAGATTCGATGATCGTTAGAGAATTAGGCTATTTGTCTATGTGGGTGTGTAAAAGTGAGGAAAGCGAGAGGGTGTAATCCTTTTTCATGGCAGACCCAAATGAGGTAAAAATGCTGACACAAAATTCAATGCGTGGTATTCTCTTGAATAAATCCAGGTCTCTTTACATATACTCACCCCACTCAACCCTTTTTGTTCCGTTCAACTACTCAACTTTGTTAATATAATAATGGCTGCAGTCGATACCACAAAAATCTTTAGAACTGACTTGTTTAACGGCAAGGTTTTGCTATGCTCTGGGGGCGGCAGTGGCATTTGTCGTGGCATGACAGAAGCAATGGTCACTCATGGCGCAAAGGCTGTCATTATTAGTCGAAAGTGAGTTTTAAACGATATTTTCGATTGTTCATTTGGATCGTGTTTGAAATGGGGTAAAACCAGTCATCTAAAAAAAGGCTCGTGCATTTTTTTCAAGTTTCGAAAAGTTACAAAAGGCAGCGGAAGAAATGAGCAAGGCTACCAACGGCGAGGTTATGTACGTTTTTTTTCTCCTCCTCCCTAATTAGAAAAATTGAACAGCGCTAAATCAAGTAGGATGACTGATGATGGCACGGGATCATTTATGCATGTTTTGATTTTTATATACTTTAAAGCCCTGTCCAAGCCGACGTGCGTAAACCCGAAGATGTCGAACGAGCAGTTGCCAAGACGATCGAAAAGTTCGGCCGGATCGACTTTCTGATCAATGGTGCTGCCGGTAACTTCTTGGCACCTTTCGATGGTCTTTCTTACAATGCTTTCCGAACCGTCATTGAGATCGACTTGCTTGGCTCGTTCAATTTGACAAAGGCTACCATGCAGCACCTTCGTGCATCCAAGGGCTCTATCATCAACGTCAGTGCAACCCTTCATTATACCGGTACCATCTTCCAGCAGCATGCAGGTGCTGCTAAGGCTGGCATTGATGTAAGCTATTATTAATCTCAACACATACACATACACACACACACACAGAGAGAGAGAGAGAGTATTGCTATTGGGATAGAAACAGCTAACTGTTGCATTTGCAGGCCTTGACCAAGCATTGGGCAGTCGAGCTGGGTCCTTCTGGTGTTCGTAAGTGTCTAAATATAACATGTGGTAGTGATGGCGCTGGAGTGTATGATTCTAACAAAAGATTGTATGTGATTTTAAGGCGTAAATGGCATCGCACCTGGTCCTATTGCTGCCACTGAGGGATTAAGCCGGTTGGCCGGTGATTTGACGGATCCTCAACAAATCCCAGTTCAGGTACGCATGTCTTTCAACTCCTGCAATTACAACTTGCTTAATCACTAAGTGTTTTTTTCAATCATTTCTAGCGTGTGGGTGAGGTGAAGGATATTGCACAGGCTACCGTATTCCTGTTTTCAGAGGGCGCCACTTTCGTAAGTGAATCGGCAAGGAACGTGGCTGAGGGGGTTGTGGGGAAGGTTGTGGAGGGACAGGCAATATGGATGGATAAAGATGAGAAGAGAACAATGGACTGTGGTGGCAAAAAATCAAATAGGATTCTTGTCAGTAACGAGTTTCTGATAATGATTTAGATCACTGGCCAAGTTGTTGTCGTTGATGGTGGACATTATCTTCAAACAAGCAACCCTGCTTATCCTGACAGCGTTCTCGCCTCAGTACCAGACTCGAAGCTCTAAATTTTGTTAATTAAACATTATAATACTACCACTTTCACCCAAGTTTTTTTCTCAATTACTTTTTATCATTGGAGAAAGACATCCTTGAAAAATCATGGTGTAAAAATGTTGGATGAAAAGAAGTGGTTAACTGTAAAGTTAAGTTTATTTATTACAGTATGTACAAGTGTATATCTGGATATGACATTGTATGCAGTACAATATGTAGGTGGTGTTATAAGATAACATTGTGCTTATGGGCATAAAAGGTTTACAGTAATTGTTTAGGAACTGACAGAACCCCAGCAAAGGCTTTTGACAGGCGGAGCGCATTAATTCTTTTCCTTTTTCTGTCTTTTGCTGCCAACCTGTCATTTTGCTGTCTTCTCGACAATCTTTCTTGAAGATGTCGAACATTTAAACTATAGTGAAATGCTATCCACGTAAGAATCTGGCTACGATTCCTTTTCTTTTTTAGAAAAAAACTTGTTGTTCGCCAGCTGAAGTCGTCGTTGACAATCAACACTTACCCCAAACTCTCCTACCCAGAAATGAAAAGGTGTAGTACATCTTAGTTTCTATAAACGATCCTCTCCCACATTCTAATGTGTAAAACAAAGTTATTGTAAATTATATCTGCTGAATACCCAGAGAGCGTGCTTTACATATATCATATCTAGCGCTGCTCACCCGTTTTGAAACTGCTATTGCTTCCTGTCTGCTGCAAGCGTATGTGAATACAAGGAAACAAATGCCATGAGCAGGGTAATATCCCAAATCTCAGTTTACCATTTGGGTCTTGAGACCTTACAGGAGCTTGAAATGTCATTTTGAGGTATCTGAAAGGCTATAAACGACAATCTGTATCTTTCGAATGCATATCAGCGCTGTTGTCTGCACCATTCTTAAACGATGGCCAAATTTGCGCCTTATTTCCGACGCTACAAGAAGTACGGATTGCTTGAAACAACAATAATTATCGCTCATGCCAATACATAACCTTATTGAGCGCTTTTCTTATATTTTAGGCAAGAATAATCTCGAGTTGGCTTTTGAGACTTTGTTTGAAAATAGCTGCAAGTATGTATGCTTTAGCTTGCTGCTTGAATACCAAACAGAGCAGAGCTCAAAGGACGACGTACATGGAAGCGGTAATGAGCTTTTGCAGTTAGTGATGGGGCATGAATAAACACCTAATTGTATGTTATACATCTGTAGTTAGAAACGAAAATGGCGGTATCATATATTAATTCTTGTCGTAAGTTCTAACAAACATTCATTGACGAAAACACTGTCTCTATATTTCTGCTACCTCGTCTGCGTGGGTCTGTGTGCGTCTACGTATGTGGATTTGAGGTTTTAAAGACCGGTAACCGTCAAAACATTGGTTGCGACATGAAATATCAAAGGGTGTATGGCAGAACGTTGAGAAATCAGACTGAATGTGTGATGAATATAAGAATAGTGTGTGAACTTCGTTTGACTTTGCAAGTATATGATAGTTATTGCATGTTCGAATGTATGCTTTGCTGTTCATTCTTCACCGGTAAATAGATCCAGGCACGCAACAGAGTCGTCCTTCACAGATTATGACTGTATCAACATCTGTTTCAATCAGAAGAAATGACAGCGTCCAGAGGTCTGGTTGATAATTGACTGATTATTGCGTGTTGACGCTCGAGCAATATCCGATTCCTTAATGTAGGTATAGCTGCTATATGGTTATGCTTGCCAAAAGAGGAGCTATAGGTTCCGCGCGAAAAGAAGTAGTATGGGCGGTACAAAGTAAGCAATAAAAACCGCTATTAATAACATGTGCCCACCCTTCTTCGGTCGTGACCGCTTCCGTCCCCAACCCCCTTTTATTTTCTGGATAATAAAAAATGTAAGCTTGTTAAATGCACTTTTATATACTAACAGAAGCAGTAGCAATATGTCCATTCGTTTTTTTTTTTACTTTTTACAAACGAAATCCACTGCATGTCTTTTCTGCCTAGTACTAACAACTATGTTATAAAGCTGATATGTTTCTGGCGATTACTATACATCTGTAGCGTTTACAGAAGTACGAACATGTACTATAAAAACACGCAGTGTTTCAGGGCTTCAAAGTAGCGGATCGCAAAGCTATTCTACGATATGATAAATCATTTATTTCGCCTCCTTCTCTGACAGCGGCTACTGGGAACCGAGAATACGATGCAGATTAACGTAGTAGCAGTTTTTTCCTCCCTAACTGACGAAAAGAAAGATGCAACAAAATCGGTCTTTATATCTTCTTTATCACATCACCCATAAAGCATACTCGTGAGTCGCATTAGGTATACGCAGTAAGCATATATAGTGAAGATTACAGTAACATCTCTACATCCCCAATAATGGAAAAGAAAAGACATTCAATGTTGGTTGCCATGAAAAAACAGTATACACGATTGATAATAAGATATCATACATCGATACTGAAAGTAGGAATGAAAGCATTATTGCTTTCTTTTTCCTTCCAAATGTTGCATACTGTATGCACATCAGAAAAGAATGTAATGTGAAAGAGATTTAAACAAATCAAGTAGGAAAGTAAAGCGATGAAAAGACATGAAAAGGGATCATTCAGTGCTTATCACCAATAGTACCAAAAAAAATACTGTTACTGCTTGTTTATTTTGAGTGGCGCACATCTTGATTCAATCTCGTTATGGCGAACGTGCCTGTCAAATACTATCGATACGTTTGTTGAGAATGAATTGTAATAAATGCAAAAAGTAGAAAATCTCCTTGATACCGAAATTATTCTTGGCATGTGCATTTTGTATATACTGTGTCCGATATCACTCATCGCTTTGGCAACTTTAATTACAACGAAAAAGACATCATACTACTGATTTGCTCCATGGAGGACTAGATATGAGACAAATGATGAACCATGCATCTGGATTTTAACCCTCTTACGTATCACAAGTGGAGATAGCGATCTTCTATGAACGAATCACCATCAGCACGTTTATTGTGTGTTTGTGCGCGCGGATTTGGAAAAGAAAGGGAGAAAGGGGTATTATGTGTATATGAGAGAAAGAGAGAGGAGGGGGTTTTAAAACTAAGTCAATTAAGGTGAATAAGTAGTATGAGCCTATTACCCCTGAACGAAACGATGTTGATAATCTCCTATAGCTGTCCTATTTGTGATTGCTGGTCAGATTAGTGCGGTTACATATTATATATAAACCCCAATGACAAACGCTCGGGCAAGAGAAAAGCCGTTGATCGTTTCGTTTGCATCTCTTCGTTTACTTTCCTTCACTGTCTTCTTTTTTTTTTCTAAAAAAGAAATAACAAGTTGCTACCCTTTCCATTCCTTTCTACACACATTACTCGGTCAAACAGCACGCCAACACTACCAACCGTATAAAGCGACACCAACAAATCATATCACACAACTCTCTATATTACAACAACGAACGATAACGACATATACAATGATGACCAGTCACATTCACAACAACAGCATTTTATTACGTCTATTCGTTTTCATGACCGTGCTAGTTGCAAGCGCCATGGCAGCCGACTGTTTTTGCAAAGAACTACCACCTATATACACCGAAGACTGTTGTATCGGTACTAAAGGCGAGCTCCGGCAAGACTTTGGCACACACTGCGTATTCACCGACTACAGCAATCTAGGCGATTTCAACCGTTGTTGCGATTCTTACTTTGGCATGGCTCGGTGTGTTCTTTCCCCTCGATAGGCACGATTCAACAAATTCGTTCAATGCAAAAACCGATCGTTATACAATTTACTACACTTTTTTATTCTTTCTTCATCCTTCGATTGACAGCTTTATGTAACTTTAGAACAAACACACTTCAAAAATAAACTAATTACCGCACATCATGTACAGCACAGATCTTTAACGCTACAAACAAGCTAAGCATTAATTAACACCAAGCGGATTTTACAAGATATATTTAGGGAGAGATTGGCATATATCGAGGCATGCTGGTTACACGAGAAGAACTTGATTGTTTCGCCCAGACGTTGATTGAATAGGGATGTATGCCGAGTTTTAATCCAAGTGTATCAACTGCAAAAGGGCCAGGCCAATAGCGCAAGCAAGTGTGTCATTATGCAGATTGACCGTCATTTCGTTCGGCCGCTGCCGCGAAGCCCAACAGACAGGAGTGTATATTACACACAAACTCATGGATCGTCCTGCTAGTATTTTAAGTAGTTATTGAAAATGTATTAAACTAAACACTCTCTCTATTTGCTGCATGATTGATGGAAACCTTTTGAAAATATGCAAAATTCGCGATGATCGCTATTAATCCGATGTGGTACCTGCATTATTAAAACTATGCGAGGCTTATTTTTTTCATGCTATCCCTAAATCCATGTATGAAGGGTAAACTGAACTGGAAGCAGCAGCAGCAGCAGCAGCAGCAGAGAAAATGCTCAGCCAGCTGTAGCAATTGAACTTTTAATTTATATATCATCTATGCATGCGGCATAAGAAAAAATGCTTACAAGTATCCCACACCGAGGCGTCATCATACTGTAATTGCGTATTTTTTAGACCGGATTTCTTGTTTTGTTCCTCGGTATCCTCAATGATATAACAAGTTCCATGCTGATTTTACTATGCTCCAATTCGAGACTTGCATACTAAACAAAATCCAAATGTGCAATAAGAGCAAATGAGCCAACGCATAGTAGCCAGTTTCATCCAAAGTTTCTACACTACGCTAAGAATGCTAACCTTCCTTCCGAGATCAGAGATTTCATCTCGCATAACTTGGACTTCTCGTTGTTTCACAATCAGTTCCTGTTCTTGGTTTTGTCGAAGGCCATCCGCTTGTGCCTTTTGAACATTAAATGAGATTTTCAGCTCGTCAAGTGCTTTACATAACTCTTGATTTTCGGACTTCAAAGCTGCTGCAGTACCGGCGCTTCCATTGCTTTGTTGCAGCTGTTGTCTCATTGTGTTATTCTCTTCTGTCGCGTAGTGTAGGTGATTTTTCAAACCCTCAACCTCCCGCATTAGTGAAACGTTACTGTTCAAGCACCCTGTCAACCTTAGCTCAGCCGCCGACAGCTGCGATCGAGTTTCGGCGAGGTCCGATTGAGTTTTTTCGTTTTTGTGCTGTTGTGTTTTGAGCTGACGCTCAATGTCTTCGATATCGATAGGGGGGGACCCTTCCTGAGTAGCAGTAGTAGTACGCACCGATTCCAACATCGGGGTGGCGGCGCTCTTTGACAGGTCAACGGCCTTCATGACCAGTTCATAAAGTCGGAGAAAAATCTTTGTTCGGACCGTTGTTGTTGCTGTCATTGTCAGAACCTGTGCTCATGGCTCGTTGCGATTGTTCTTTTGCTTGTAGTTCCAACAATGCTGAATTTTCAGCCTGTAAAAGTTTGACCTGGTATTGGAGCTCCTCATTTTGAATAGTTTTCTGAGTATTGACTTTTTGACCCTTGGCAATAAGGCGTTGAAAGGCGTCGCGTTGGTCGTTTATGACACGGTGGCAGTCGTCCAGGGCATGGGTGACTTGGTCGAGTGTAAGTGAGTCGCTATTGCTGCTTCTACTACTGCTGGTTTGGCGTTGAAATTGATCATATGGAGCAAGGGGAGCACTGGTGGTGTTTGCAAAGCCGTTAAACATCTTTTTGACAGTTTGACGCGGAAGAAGTAAGAGAGGAGTGTCGTCAAAGAAAAAACGGCGCTTTTTTTTTTAAAACGCGTTACTCGATTACCCTCTGTCCGCAGGTTATGTACCCTCAAGTGAATTCATTGTTTATGCTTTGTTGATGGACCCGCATATTGCATCAATAGGTGTAATAGTATGTTATTTTGCTTCCTACTGTGGAGGCTTTTGATCGGGAGTACATACTATCCTTACCAAATCCAGACTGCATGATGATTTAATGACCAACGAAGAACAGTGTTTGCTAGGTGATAGACCATAGCGCGAATCAATCATTGTGTTTTTCTAGTTGATTGACAATGTATAAAGTGAATGGATCACAAATTGAGGCCACATAGAATGGCACGGTCCACTGCAAATTGAAGGCTTGTGTCTGTCGTTTTTCTGTGTCGATCGGTTGCCTTTCTTGAACGGTGGTACAAGGTACAAAATCGGATTTGCGGAAGCGACATTTTGAAGCGACATGAAGCTTTTTACAGCTCGTAGGAACATTGACCGTCGACCAACATTGGATATTCGTCTACCGATGCCTGTAAATCAAAGGTAGTCAAAAGAAATGTTTCGAATATTGATCCCTTTGGAACACACATGCAATACGTCTAATTGTAGTTCAAGTGAAAAAGAAAGCGAGCTCGTCGTCCTCTGTCCACTGCAATAGGTCAGGGAAATGCTTACTATGCACTATACTTGGAAAATCTTTAGCTGGTCCATAGAGTACCTTCAGGCGCTATTCATAACCCATCACTCTTCCGGATCCTACACAACGAAGATGCAAATGTTTCCTCCTAAAGTGTTGCGTCATGCTTTCAAGCTGTGTGACGTGAACTCTTGAGGCGAGCTGTGGATACTTTTTTTTTTTTTAAGATTAACCAGCGCACTAGTCAATTTATTGGCGGCCTCCGAAACGATATTTGTTTGGTAGGCTGTGAAGACATGATGACAAGACAGATAGGGCAGAGTAGACAAATGATTGTTGACAAACAGATAGACTATTTAAAAGACTTGAGGACATTTGCTAGGCTAAAAACGGACTTGGACGGACTCGAACTGGTGGCCTGTTGGCAGTGGCTCTCGAGAGGCTGGCGCTCTCCCTGAAATGCCAGGGGCACGTGGCCCAAAGAGAGCTGTGGATACGATGTGATATCCTATGCTGGTCAGCAGACCAGACTATATGAGTTTCCGACGAATTACCACAAAAAAGACCATTTTATTATTTTAAACTACAAAATTTACTGTGTAACAAATATTTCTTATAAAGCAAAAAAAAAGACCCCACCCAATGATATTGTATATCAGCATGGGTGTCGCAACGAGAACTCACGTCTTCCTTTTATAGTTAACCTACTTTTCGGTATTAATCAATGAACGTAAAAGTACGCGCGTTCTTACCAAGAACTTAAAGTATGCAAGCAAGGAACCCTTTGTTTGTTCTCTCGTACCAAATTTAACTGAATACACTTCCTTTTTCCTCAAAGAATTCCCGGAACATGTTCGAGGTATGAGCTATTTGGAGGAGGGGCGCCTCTTTGTGCTCGTCAGTATATGATTCTAGCTTTGCCTCAGTAGCCGCATGGACACGTCTGCGACAGTACGGCTGTGGGGGCGGGGGAAGAGGTGGCGACGGAGCGGATGAGAAAGCGGCAGCAGGTGGTTGCTGTTGTTCTTGGTGCATAGAAGATGACGCTGCAACTTCATTTGTTTTCGTACGCTTTGGCAATGACTGCTGCGGCATCGACCCTAGTAATGGCCGCAAAGGGAAAGCTGTTGTTAGTACGCATGCATCTGTATAGCAGTTAAGAGAGTTAAGAGACACTTTATTGCCTAGTACTACCTGTGTTTAATTGTTCAGTTTCGCCACTGTCATTCTCGCGAGGACGCTTTCTGACTAGTGGCAGAGATGCTGATGCTAATGCTTGTTCGTTTAGCGTTCCTCGCATACTTGGTTGATTTCCCGAGGTATCGATTGTAGTAGGGCGCGTTTCTCGTGACGCTGATAATGAATCGATGGAAGACGTGCCTGTGGCAATACACTCTATATCAGAATGAGCATTACATAAAAACTGTTCTTTATCGACCCTAATGAACCCCTTCCAGACTAACGTTCAGAAGCGTTTTCAGCGCGCTCCTCGGTCACCACAGGTGCACCCGTTGTTTCTTCAGCTGCTAGTTGTGGTCCACCAAGTTGGCTCGAAGAAAACGTCGATGATTTTCCTGTTTTCAATCGTTTAGAACTTTTTTCTTCTAATGAAGACGCTGAGGATTCCGAGAAGATATGCAACAAATGTTAGTATGTGTTTAGAACGAGAAAAGTGATCACATTTGCTGCAGTGACATACATGTGCTTTGGTTTTGCGAGTGGCCCGTGTTGGCGCCACTGTCATTAGCATTGTATGTATGTTCCAGAAGTTCGGGCTGACGACCGCGCTTCCGGCCTAAACGGTACGATGTTATTGTTATTGTCTCTGTTGTTGGTTCTTCTTGCTCTCGAGCCTTTGAAGCAATAGTAGTAGTAGTAGTAGTAGTAGTAGCAGGAGCAACTTCAACCGGAAGCGAGGACGACGGTTTGTCTATTATTATATCATTACTAATATAAGCATCGTAGTCTGTGTATACCTTTTTGTTCGATTAACAGCTTTACCTTGAATCTTATTCGATGTGGTGGGTTCAACTTTGGCAGTGGAATCAATATTCAGTTGCTCAGTTCTTTCTGGCATAAGACAATCAATGTCTTCTCGAGCCTTTGAAGCAATAGTAGTAGTAGTAGTAGTAGCAGGAGCAACTTCAACCGGAAGCGAGGACGACGGTTTGTCTATTATTATATCATTACTAATATAAGCATCGTAGTCTGTTTATACCTTTTTGTTCGATTAACAGCTTTACCTTGAATCTTATTCGATGTGGTGGGTTCAACTTTGGCAATGGAATTAATATTCAGTTGCTCAGTTCTTTCTGGCATAAGACATTCAATGTCTTGTAAGATTGATGCGAAAAATGGGTTTGTAAAAGACGAATGAATATAAATGTCAACGGTCGTCGCACTGCCCAGTTGCGATTGCGTGCATGTACTTTGGGTAATTAAAGAACTTATGGTTGACAATTATTATACCTGTGTCCCTCAACGCGTCGGGAGGTGTGTCGTTTCCAAAAACGTTAAGTCCAAGTGCCTTTAAAGTGAGTTGTATTATATTCGACATTGTAGCTTTGTCGGTTGGAGAATGGAAGAAGAGTGACAGCTCAAAGGTTGTTTGACACGAGCGAAGATAAAAGGGCGATGGGTCTTCAAGTTGCTGCGCACCACATGACAACACATGAAAAATACATGCTGTACGAGGAACTAGAACAAAATGCCTGGACTGCGAAAAAACCATGCGTTTGATTATGTAGATCGGCAGGATGGTGGCCTTGTTAGGGTTAGATCCTTACAAAGTGCAATGTCGCTGCCCTGACTTCATCCGACGAGGCTCAACATGCAAATACATGTATTTGTTTATCAGGGTAGAAGATGTTTCCTTGCCACCTGTGCACCGGTCATCCGCTGTCCCCACTTCCACCGCCACAGAAACAGAAGCAAGTCCATCCCAAGAAGAGCTGTTTCAGCAATCTTTGCAAAGGTATATTATATATATATGATGTGCGCTATCCATATTGTCACTAACTTTGTAATAGATTCCAGGTGACCTTCCAGAAACTATCCGAGCAAGCAGATAAAGTTAATGCAAATAACTATTTGCCGCATTGCTGCTCGTTACATAAACCAAGTCTCCCAGTCTCTTGAGAATTCATGGTCAACATTGAAGACTTGGGAGCACAACACATCCAACGAAAGAAATCACCAAAGTCGATTTTAAATAAATATATGACTTGGCCGCTTTTTTTTCAAGTTGAGGACTTCGTTATAATTCTCCCTCCATGTGCCGACTTCGCGTTTTTTCTTACGGAAAATTCAAGTCTTGCATACTGTACTGTCGCTGGTATTTAATTAGGGGCCCCTCATAGATGACACTTTTGCTTTATGGGTCACTCGGCCCATTTTTTAGGCGTTCTATACGGAGTTGATATGGCAGAGCGTACCACCGTGATAAAAAGCAATCTTTATGAAATGACATTCACCGACGAAACAACATGCCAGGTAGCAGTCGCAAAAAACGATGATGTTGCAGGGCATCACTATCGGGCTGTTCGTTCTCTACCTCCTAAACAACAACTCATCAATTTGGAATTGTCACACCTGCCAACCGGTTTGTAATCTGGTGACCTTAAGCTCAAATTGAGAGCGGCTCTGTCTAAATATGGACACGTATTGCACTTAGGCCTGTACCGGTCCGTGGAAGGCGGCTGGTTCAAAGGCAAAAGACTTGCTGTACTCACGATGCCCAGCAAGATAACCACCAAGAAGGATACGAAACTTTAACGCGCTGTATCGATTTCGGCGCTCTCCATAATCGCAATCGCGATTTTTATGTTACCTGGCAATCGGTGGGTGTTTATTGCAGATATTGCCATGCTCAGGATCACACCCGATCGCCCTGATCCCGAATGCTTCAACTGTTGTTGTAAAGGTCATATTTCCATTGCATGTCCGCAACCACGAAACAGCTACCCTCGCAAAAGCGCCCAAGACGAACCATCCAACTGACGATTACAACAGCCCATCAATTGGCTTCATTCATTATTGTCAAGTGTACATTTAAGGAACTTAAGCACTAAAAGTAAAAATTATGGAGGGAGATACATGGCTAAATGAAAACTTACATATGTCGGAAAAACAGTATAATTGATACACGGGTTTTTTATATGATGTGGAATGGGCAAGAGACATGCTGGGACAAGAACCGAAGATATTCATCTTTCTGTATTCACAAACCGCCAAAGAAACGAGAGCGAAAATGTGTATGCAACAGAAGTTTCCGTCTTGAAATGTGCGTGCCATCTTGGTTGTTGCTCTTCTCCTGTTTCTGTTCCATAGACATAAGAGTTCTCGAATGTAGAAAGAGTATGTAGTACTTGTTCTTTTTCTTCCTATTATGAGGAATAAGGTACAAAATACTCCTTTTTGTACTGTGAATCAACCTTTCACAACTCTCTATTGTCAATTCTTAATGGTTAAAGAAATGCGCTGGATAACCCACTTTACGAAAAGTACACGACAACCACTGTCACCGGACACGTGCATCATATAGAATTTTGACAGGATCATGACTCTGTATGTGTATCTCTCCTGCCTGTTGGCTGCAGTAAGGACATACCGACCGATTTACTTCTTGCTTTGTAGTTCTGCTTGTCCCCTTGTTCAAATTTTATAACACTGTACATATTGCTGTGATTACCTTACTTCTTTTTTTTTCTTTTGAAGGGCAGTGTATCAACAATGACAACAAGAACATTACGTGTGATGTTGTCGATCCCAACGGGACTTTACGACAACAACAATAAATCTAAACCTCCCCTTTTGCTCCTCTTTGTTTCACATGCTATGATCCATCTGTCATACATGATAGAAAGCACCAGGTGGCTCGCTTGCACGCATAACATACGCTGTTTGAATTCTCCGAGCACGGGTTTTTTGCAGCTTTTTTTCTCCCACTCCCCGAATAATTTTATTAGCCATCAAACGCTACAAATCATATCTTTTGAGCTGTAACCAGTCCTCTCATTCTTACAGTTCTACATGGATTACATATCCAAATAAATGTAAAATTCCTTCGTCTGGGTGTACGGTTATAGTTAATATAAATGCAATGCGGCTCAAACAGAGTTTTGTTGAAGATCCTATAAAAATTTTTTTTCACTGCTTGATGGTTATTAACCCTGCATTTACCAGTATCAGTTAGTGAGTCATGAGGAAAAAATAGAGCACCGCATTGTTAATGTATCTTTTAGGCATGATATCAAACAACTTGTTCTCAATTAATGCGATAGCGGCTACTAGATTATGCTTATGCTTTAAATGATAATGAACCTTATATTATTACTTGTGTTCGTGTGTATGTGTATGTATACGTCAAACCTTCCCTTCTCTCCCTGCGTGCCTACGTATCTTGCTGATGCAGAAGAAAAAAGGGTCCTATGATATATTGCTGCTACTACTACTAATGTAAGTCTTATGTAGTACGTAGCAGTAGTATGTAGTTGTATTTCACTTCTCCTTCATTCAACCATTCCTCCCGCTCCACTCTCCTTTAATTTATATCAGCATCATAGAATCAATAGAGTATGTAAATCGAAATGGACAGGAAAGAGGGATTGGAATCGTATCGTATACCAATGTTTCCGATAGTAACGCAGAGTCTCTATAGCAACTCATAGATTCCTCATGGACAACCCACAGAGGTTTCCATGGCAACCGCCAAGATCGGAGCCCAGCAAACGAAAAACAGCCCGGCACTAAAAAGAAAAAAAAATTTGACTGCCGGTCTTTCCCCCAAAGCACTCTTTTTTTTTAATTTTTTTTTGCTTGTATATATATCACACAATATGTTTATGCCACAGGTATTTTGAACATTTGCATTCAAAAAAATAACAAGGAATGAATGGCGCAGCAAAAAAAGGAACAGCGTAATTAAGGGTTTTTTTTTGTTTTTTTTTCTCTCTCGCTGTTCATGGTATAATAGCAGCCGAAATTGACGCCCGAACAAAAGGCGATGCTTCGACTTCGTACATTGGGCACTGTTTCCAATTTTGTCACTGTTGTCCTTGCTCTTCGTGCTGGTAAGTTTGCTAAAAGGAAGCCGGATTGCAGGTTTTTAGGAGTGGAAGTAAAGTTTGAAAGAGAAAAAAAAAACCTATTGTTTCATTGGGGGTGGGGAAGAGAGGGAGAGAGGGAGGGGGTGTGAGGAAGAGGAGTTAGTTGGAGCAATGAGGTATTGAGAATGAGTGAATTCATAGCTAACGGCGTCGTTCTTATGTCCACTGATAGCTCCTTTTGCTCTCGAATACGTTAAAAAGTTCTTGTAAAATCAACATGTATGATCGCCTATCAAACGGTTCCAAAAATGTACCAGAAATAAATAAAAAGAAGAGTTTTGTGTTTCGTGAACATCTTCCATGCAGCCGAGCAGCAGCAGCAAGAGTTGACCAGCACCCTCTGCCAACCAAGTTTGAAAGGGAGTTTTCTTGACGCTTTTGTCTAGTGTGTGCGTGATTGTGTCATCCATTTCTTTGCCCTTCGTCTCCTCCCCTCCCCCCTCCCCCACACACACACACCCTTCCCCGCTACTACTCCGTCTCGCGCAGCTATTCTTTCTTTCTCTCTTTTCACACACGCTCTCTCTCACTCTTTCTTTCTCTTTTCTCTCTCTCTCTCTCCCTCTCACACTGTCACTTCTGTCACACCTATACTCCTAAAGCAAAGAAGAAAGAGAGTGACAGTGTACCCATTTGCGATTAAAGTACCTCTGCACACATATACACACACGCGCGTCTTCAACTCATGTTTGCAAAATCAAAGCGATTCCAAGAAGGTACTCTTCTTTTTTTTTCCAAGTAAATCGGAACGGCCCACCCGAAACCTTCTTTTTATTTCGTTTCCGCCCTTACACGACGACTACTACTACCACTACCACCACCACACCTGACAAAAAAAAAACTATATGCATAACCGCCTTCCCCCTTCTCTCTTTCTCTCTCAACTATACAATAGGCACAAAAGAATACATTCCAGGACCTGGTGAATACAACATTCCAACAGGCGATGACCTGGGCAGGCATAAACGCTATGGGTTCCTGAACCAGACCAACCGGTTTAACGGTGAAGGGCCAGGTATTGTGTGATATATCAAAAAGTGATTTTATTAAACCAACACGTGTGCTGTTGTTATTGTTTTTTAACATACCATCTTTCCATTACAATGATTAAAATTGTGTGTGTTATGATAGTGGAGATATCCCCCGATTTTTTTGCTGGTGATAACTCCACCGCGAGCTTGTCGAGCGAAACACGATTCTCTTCGGTGTCGACGAGCAGCAATAAAACCGAAGATGCACGTACACGGCGGCAAATGAGCGAACTCGCGACGCAATTCGAAAAGTATCGTCACTCGATGCAAAAGGAAATCGAAGCACTGCAGCTCAAAAATCGCAAGATGGAGGCAACTGTCCAGTCCATGACCTTGGATAAAGAGACTACACAATCAACGTTGCTCAAGAAAGATCAAGAACTCGCATCGATTCGACAAGAGAACCTGTCACTCCAGAAATCGGTAAGTACACATTATTACGCGCAGCATTCATACATGTGTGTGTGTCTCTTACACTTGATGCACGCATACCAAAGCAGCAAAAACCAAATGACTTACTCATTATTTTTCTGGGCTTGGATGGGTGGCGGCGGAATCATAAAAAATTATATTATCATTATTGCATGCACTATTATTATCATCATCATTGCCGCTGTGTAGCTGGGTCGCTTGGAAAAGAATATCGACAAGTCGCCCAAGGTAATACGGCTCCAGAAGCGGCTAGACCAAATGGAAAACGAGTTGCAAGACGCCAAAGACGCCCTGATTAAAGCACAGCAAGCGGCGGAGGACGAGAAACGAGCACTCTCAGCCGTGGCTGCACAGAAAGACGAAACGATCGGCAACCTGACAACGCAAATCGACGACCAAGCGAAAGCCATCGACGACTTGCATAACCGACTGAGACAGAACGAACAACAGTTTCAAGATGTACGAGACGAGGACAAGCGGCTGATGGAAGCATTGCAGTCCAGGCTTGACGAAACCATGTGCAAATTAGCTGCAGCTGATGAAACACTGGACCAAAAAGAGCAGGACGCAACTGCCCTAAAAAGCGAAATTCAAGACCAACAGCAGCAGCTCAATGATATATGCACGCAGAAAATCACGCTACAATCCGAACTGGCAGAGATGAAAGCACTTGCCGCAGCCGAACGTCATCAGTGGACATCGGAACGCACGTTGTTGCAGCATGAGATTGAGCAGCTTGACCAGAATCTCAACAAGAGTGCCGCGGAGATAACTCATCTCGGCACTCAACTCGCTGAGGGCAATCGGGAAATCAGTAACTTGCGCGAAAAGGCCAAGGAACAATATCAACGGCTGCAGGCGAGAGAGGGTCTTGTACAGCGGTTGCATGTCCGGTTTGACACGTACCAGCGGCATGTGACTCAAGTCATGCAGGATATGAAGGAACGAATGAAATCCAAGGACCCGCGAAGAGATGTTGAAATCGATCGTCTCACAAGAGAACTGCGCGAGGCCAAAAAGTTCATCAACAAGCAGGCATTGCATCTCGATGGCCTCAAGTCGGAGCTGCATTGGATGTCAAGGTGGAATCGACAGCTCAATGAGCTCATTGATGCTATCCATCAGGATGATGTATCGCACGGCTTTATTGCCCCGCTGAAGAATAATAGCTCCTCTACAACAACAACAACAACAACAACAGCATCATCATCATCATTATCATCATCATCAGCAGCAGCAGCAGCAGCATTATCAACATCAAAACGATCTACGAGCCTCAATAGTAGGGATAGAATGCGTAGTCCAGTCAAAGGTATGCTGGCAATGACTCGGATATTGCTCTAATGCAGAACGCGCTGACTAACAAATACATATCAGATACCGTCCCAAGGAACGACTCCGGCTTTAGCACTACCATTACCACTAGCCCCGAACGAGCCGCCGTAGTGTAGATACCTCTTCTTTCTTTTCCATATATACACACAGAACACACTGTAATCGGTAGCAAAAATAAGAGAACCGAATATACCCCACCCATCAACCATATCCTCTCTACTACACACACACACACACACACACACAAGATTCCAACCTTTTCTTTCTTCGCTTTTCAAGGCCTAGCAATCATGATACCCCCTTCCTCAACTGTGCAAGGTCATAAAAATGGAGGGTTTTTAAAATCATTCAACCTTTCCAAAACCACAACATATTATTACTATATACTGCACACATCCTTTTCCTCTGAGTTTTGGATATATACAAACTCACACACAAACACCAATTAAACGAAATTGAATTTTAACAAAAACTCGTGGTTTTTCTGGGATATTAGGTGTGGCTGCTGCTGTGTGCTACATTTGCTCTCTGTGTGTGTGTGTGTGCTTTTCTTTTGTGTTCGCGGAGCTTCTACATAAACTGTGCCTCTTCAGATATAAGGCTGCGCTTTTTATGTTGCATGTCTCTATGTTTATATGTACCGGAAGGTTACAAAAGCCGCTCGTTGTAATGAAAAGGACAAAAACAATTTCAGGTTCATTTACAGCAATAATGTGCTTCAAGAATAGCTGGCTACATATTGTTCTAAAAGTACATAGCACATGGTTTAAAGTTTACAAATTCATTATTTTTGCTTCGTCGTGTGAAAGATACAAGGCTGAGGAATAAATTGACAACAATAATAAGCAGCAAAAACAGATTGCTAAATTACTTGTGGTTATTAATACTTGGTAGCTACATAAACAATACATGAATTTCATGTTCTTCTGATTAAAGCGCTTGATCCATGTACTTACCAAAAAAAACATTTCAAAGAAAAACTTTCTCTTGACGTTGACGCTTCAGACGCGGCCGTACTAATAGTAAACAGTAAGCTAACGTAGTAGTAATAGTAAGCAGCAGATAGTGAACAAAGTAGTATTATACAGATTTGTAAATACGAGAAAAAAACAACGTGCTACTTTGTAGTTGTGGTACATAGTGCATACAAACAATATGTGTGCAGCATGACATCAGCAAAGAGACCCCGAAAGAGGGAGCGAATTTTGAATTCGCTCGCCTCCGCGCAAATCATATACGTATTATGTATCTACATACACACATGCCGACATGAGATGCAAAATGTACGCCGCCTTTTGCCGCAGCCTGCCACGCTGTCGGCGCTGTATCATTCTAATGCATCATCATCTTTGTCCTTGATTGAAGAAATGCACGGCTGAATATCTACTCACTCTCGTTGTGAGTTGGATATGTACAACGCATATATAAACACATCCCGCGTGAAAGTTTCTAGATGTAATAAAAAAAGGGTATGTGCTGGGTTCAACATGTAATGACGTAAGAGACGCAGTAGCAGCAGCAGCAGCAGCAGCAGCAGCACAAAATGCGAATTTCAATAGTATTCAAGAAGCGTTATCTGTTGCATGTACCCAGCAATAAGCCAAGATTTCGAGTAAGCTGCGTTTTTTTGAATAATGCTGGCAGATTTTCTTGGCAAGAGAGGTTTTTCAAAAATGCGAGATACTGACTCGTAATGATGCTGATGCCACTCTCATGCAACTTGGCTATGATATGGGACAGAATATATAACATTCATAAAGTATGTATACCTCTATTTCGCTGCACTTGCTAGGTCTACACTATCTAGATCCTCCAATTCCCAAAACACTGTTCCTATATGATACCATCCATCAGTTATGATATCTGATTACTATTATCATATGCGGGTATTACAGTATGAACAAGTCTGTCAATGACTTGATAAATACACGCAAGATTGTTTTACCAATATGAAAAAAAAAACTATTATATGTTGTTGTTGTGGTGGAGGTAAATTGTATGCTTTTTATTCATTCAATACAGTTGTCGATAGTTTTTGTTTGTTTGTTTGTTTTTTTAAGAGAGAAAAAAAGAAGAAATAAAGAGGAAGGAACAAATAAAAACATGAGTATATAAGATATATGTAAGAAAGAAGTAGGTGGGATAAGTGATGATATGTACGCGAAAAAAGAAAATTGAGATATCGGTGAAAATAAAGGGGGGGAGGATGAAGGGGGAAGAGTAGGATAATATATATAATAAAGATATAAATAACAGTATGTATAATAAAAAAAAAAGAAGAAGAAGAGAAAGACACTTTGCATGAAAAGCGAAAGAAGAAAAAGAAAAAAGAGGAGGATGGAGGGTGGGTGGGTTTTTGAATCGGGTTAACACGAAAAGAAGAAAGAATAGCTCTTGCACAAGGCTTTTTAAGAAAAAAAGTAAAAAGAAAAAAATAAGGCATAGCGGAGGGGAGGGGAGGGGGGTTAGTGTCTCTGTAACACTGACACAACGAGCGAGAGTGAATAAGTGGAGGGGATGGGGGATGAATAAACAGCAGAAGACAAAGAGTGATTGACTGAGGTAGTAGTAGGTTGTTTTAGAAAGAACCAAAAGAGTGAGAGAGATAAGGAATGAACACGTTTACAAAAGAAGATAAAGGTAGTAGTAATAACATCACAAAGATGGCGTTGTTGATGTTGTTGTCATAATTGAACGAGGCGTGTGTGTATGAACGAGTGTCGGTTTGATATCTGATATCGCTGGTTTTTTTTTTAGGCTGTGATTGTTGACAATGTTGTTTTGCTGTTGTTTGTGATATTACGGCTAGCTAGCACAGAAAGTATGTGTGGGAGGAGGAGGAGGAGGTTAAAACTCTTGTCCAAGTAACTTGTTGTTGTTGTTGCTGCTGCTGCTGCGCTGTTGTTGCTGTTTTCTTCTCATGCCACGAACATGGCTGACAGCATAGCCTTGTTGCATGTAATCGTATGTTGTAGGTGCTGCTACAATTCTACGCTTCTTTAACGAACAAAAAGTAGAATTGTTGTTGTTCTGTAGAATGTCAGGGGTAGTTTGACGCACATCCGATACCATGTAAGGTCGTCCATACTGTTGGTGTGCCGAGGTTGATGGGGGTGGTAGTGGCGGCGAAGTAGTAGTAGTAGTACTCGTGTTCACCTTCCACGTGAACGACGGCAAACCACTCTGGTTCATTCGTACCGGCGAAATCTGAGTAGGTGTATGCATCGGTGATGATGAGCTAGAACTGGGCAACGAAAGCGACAGCACTGGAGGTGGGCCAGTGCTGTTGTTGATGGCCACAGAGGGCGAATACCCATTGTGCGTCGTTCCTGCGTTGTTGCTGTTGTTGTTGTTCTGGCTGCCATTGTTCGAGCTAGGTGAACACGATCGAGGCGATGACAAGACCGAATACCGTCTAGCATTATAGTTGTTCTCGTCAATCGACGTTTCTCGTAACCGTCGTTTCCGTCTTGTCGTTGTTGTTGGCTGTTGGTATTGCTGCTGTTGTTGGTGTTGTTGTTCGTGAGGGTGATGGTTGTAGTAGTAGCTGTGATGGCGATGAAGATGGTGATACTGACCGCAGCAACCACTGCTGCTAGCACCGCTGCTACTACTGCTCGTGCTAGTATTCAATGCAGGCAACGTAGTGAGATCCGTAGGACTCTGCGGCGATGGCAGTTGACAATGACTCGGATGCTGCTGATGATACTGGTGTTGCGTAGTTGACAGAGACAGCAACGAAGTCAGGGATGACGAAGACGACGGCGTTGTTGTTGTTGTTGTTGAAGGTGTCGTCGTCGACGAGGAGGAGGAGGAGGAAGAGGATGGCGACAGGATTCCTGTAGGCAAACACGAAAGATCATGTAGCAAGGGAATAGGTCGATTTAATGCTCGAGACTCGACGTGCAAATGCAACAAATGATGCCACTGCTCAAAGGTGGGCTGAGCAATGTAGAGTCGGTAGTCAATCAGATCTAAAAAGATACGCTCGGCCGCATTGATTTCGGACACGGGCAGGCCGGCAATCTTGGCCCAGGCAGAGTTGCGGTAGGTCTTGTCTTGGACAAACTTGGAGGCGATCACCAGACTGGCCAAAAACATGCGTCGGCCGCAGCTAATGTAGGCGTCTTGCCAGTACGGATGGCCGCGTTGGTCCACAGCACGTTCGTAGAGCTGGGTCACGATCGAAGGACGTGCGCGGAACAGGTAGAACAAGGCGGTTTGCAGTGTCGAGTAGGTGGTCCGCGAGCGTTTCAAGACTTCCTGGATAAACGTGCGCAGTGGTACGACGGCTGATTTGTTGTGGGACGATGAAGAGGACCAAATCGTCTCAATGACATGGGCATTCGTATCTGTTTACAGAACAAAGTTATTAGTTTTGTGAGTGAGTGAGTGAGTGAGTGGGACAATGAACAAGAACACAAAAGAAGTTAATTTCTGTTTGTTGTTTGTTGTGGCATACTATGCGTGTGTGTGTGTGTGTGTGTGTGTACATAAGTGGAAATAGCCAGAAAAGGAGGGGGGGTAAAAGCTAGAGTTTTTTTTTTTGGGGGGGGGGTTTTGTTATGATTCTTATGTAATAACAACTAGAAACTTACCAACAAGAGCTTCGACATAAGCAAGACGGTTATTCACATGCTGTGTCTGCTTCACAGTCACGGTAGGGAGGCTCGAGCTGCTACCACCGAGGTGATAAGAAGCCATTTCCGGCTCGCTGGTGCTCGTCGTCGTCTTGGCCGTCGTCGTCGTCGTTGCTGCTGCTGTTGCTGCTGTTGCTGTATCGTGACTCGAGCTCAAAGTATACTTGCTTCGAAGAGCGTACATTTCAGGGTCCGTATGCAATGGAAGCATTGTGGACGATCCAGTCAATGTTGTCGTTGAAGTGCTGTTGCTCGTCGTTGTCATGGTTGCTGTTGCAGCTGATCCATTAGCATATGCCAATTTTCCTGCTGTGTGGTGAAATACGGTATTCCAATCATGAGCAGCATTGGAGGTCATGCTCGACTGACGGATCGAGGAAGCTGAAGCGTTCACGTTGCTCGAGGCGGGTTGGTACTGTTGTTGTTGTTGCTGCTGCTCTCCGTTGAAACGACATGAGGGTAATATATGAAACGGGGTTGATGTTGATGTCGACGATGCATATTGATGAGTGGTGGGTTGTAAAGAAGTCATGAAGTTTCTTTAAGAAGAACAAGAATTGGAGATAAAGAAGAAGAGAGAAGGAATCACAACAAGCAAGCAATCAAGAAGTAGAAGAAGAAGCCAACAAGGTCAGAAAGGTTGAAGAGAAACCGGGCTACTAATGTAGGAAGAAAGACGAGCTAAAGGGGAGGGTAGAGAGAGAGAGAGAGAGAGAGAGAGTACAAGGAGCAAGGGAGAAGAAGAAGAAGAAGCGAAAACCCGAGAAAGAAAGAAAGAAAGAAAGAAAGAAAGAATTATACAAAGCGAGTATATTGGAGAGAAAGAAGAAGCAAGAGAGAGAGAGTGAACAAGGGGATGGCTATTTAGCGAAAAGGGAAAAACGAGGGGCCAGGAAGCAAAGGGGGGGGGTGGGGTTGGTTGTGGAAGTGAAAAGAGAGAAAGTAGTTGGGGGGCAATGCAGAGACGCTGATGATGGTGGTGGTCTAACCTGTGCGCTTGCCGCAATATCACAAAAAAAGAGAGAGAGAGAGAGCGAGGAAAAGAGGGGTGAAAGGAGTGAAAGTCTAGTGAGTGAGAAGAACAATAGAAACTATTATTGTTATTTCCCACAAAGAGTGAATCATCCGTCGGAGTGTATTCTCAATAAAGGAACTCGCGAATTCTCCCCAATCCACTTGGCGTGCACCACAACTCCTTCTGGCCTCCTCTCCTGTTGCTTGCTTGCTTGCTTGCTTGCTTGCTTGCTTGCTGCTTCTGCTTCTGCTTCTGCTTCTGCTCTCTCTCTCTCTCCCGGTCCAACAGCCCCCACCTCCCCCACCCTGGGCGCCCAAGCTTCCCCCCTCATCGACACCCTTCGTCACCACCAATAAATCAGCCTTGTCTCTAAGCCATTGTCACCGAGAAGCACTGGCTTAATGGTCGTAAAATGTTTACATGGCTCCGGAAAGATTTTTAGTGTAATCATCACAGCAGCAGGTGGGTGGAGTTCGAGAGTTTTGTGGTAGTGGTGGTGGGGGGTGGGGGTGGGGGAGTTGTAAAAAAGACTTGATGTTGTGTTCTGGGTGCAAGCGACCATATCTGGCAACGATGCTTGTGCCTATCATCTCGTGGTGTACATGTGTACGCGTGGTGGCAAAAGTAAAATAAAGTAAAAACGATAGTGTTAATAATATAAAATAATACTCACAGCTCATGTAATGTGCTACTTACTGTCTGCTGCTTGGAGACGCTCTTATTCCATCTACTGAATACTAGCTAATGATACTAACTGTCAATACCCTCACGCATCATCATCATCAGAGAGTTACTGCTGCTGCCCTTCAGGAGTTGCTGAATACCTGCTCTACGTATGTGCTAGTAATACTGTTAGACGACTGCTGTAGACTGTCATTTTCTGAAGCTGTCAATCAGCATATTTTTAGGCACGTACACACGCACCCTGGCTGCGGTGTCACCTTCGCTCGGCTGCACACGCTGCGCACTACAGCAACTCGCTACGCCCATCGCATAATTGGATGGGTGTACTCTTTCTTCTCTTCTGCTCTTAGTGTGCAAGTGTGTATGTTTATACGATGCCCTTCCTCCCTCCCTCCACACACACACACACACACCCCCAACCAAAGCCCACTGGCCCATGTACTACGACGTAATCAAACCTTCCTGCTTTCTTTATTGTCGCTCTTTTGCTCTGTGCACCACGCGTAACATACTCTTCTGGGTAATAAGCCAATGCAGCACACAGATCATTCATCTTTATATCACATCAATAACCATCTATTAACCAGCCCTCTAACTCTCTCTCTCTCTCTTTCTTTCCCTCTCTCTCTCTCTCCAATGATCGTAAGGTCTGTATCCACTCTTGACTAACAGGTACAAGTACCATCTTCTTCTTCTTCTTCTTGCGCCCCCGTCTTACATATAACACACACACACAAATGTGCAACACTTTTGTCTCTCATTGCCAGCATAAAGAAACGTGCTTTTAATCCCATTCTCTCCGCCGTTAATCCCTTTTCCTATCATGACCAGCTGGCACATTCTTTTGCTAATTTACTTTTTACTTGATAATAACATTTCAAACGCCTCAGCAACAACAACACTTCTCTAGAGAGTTCATGAACCACGTGTAAAAGTGGCTTTTTCAAGCTTGTTCGTCTTGTTGTTTTTCTTAGTAACGACTAAAAAGAAAAATTGTGTCGAAATTGCTACATATCGAGTGAAAACAACTTACTTGAACCTGTTCTAAACAAAAACCCTTGCCCGCCCGCGTCTTTCGCCTCCGTTAAACCGGAGGAGAACGGAGGACACAAAATTCAAAAAAGGAGGACACATACACAGAGAGAGAGAGAGAAGCCCTTGTTTTTATTACAATTCCGTAAGAAAGGCTCGGGTATCTGCAACCTACAATATTCATGGTGTAAAAGAATTATTTGAGCGTGCGTGAACTGTTTTCTGAAAAACTGTCATCATCATACCGGAACTCTAGCCTTGACGATATCACATTGATAATGGTAATTTTTCACGTTGGAGGACGACAACGATGACGGCGGCAGCGGCGGGGTTTGTTGCAAGTGTACCCGCAGATCGACACAGCTGTCCCACACTAGTACTGCTCCTGTTGCATTGTTACCAGTATCACCACCACCACCACTCGTCCATTCATCTGATGTTTGTGCTGTACGAAGTATCTTTTGGGGGAGGGGTGGGCAAGAAGGAGTAAGAAGAAGGGGAAAGAAGAGCTGTTTTGCATAAACTAATAATGAGATCTGCATTTGTTATTACCAAAATAGATAACGACATCAATTTTCGTACAGATGCCATGGCGTTCAACATGTCCGACACTAAACAATATTTATTTATAATCTCACGTTTTAGCCACATTACACAAGCACCCATCACACACGCGCAAATCGATTTTGTAACCTTTGTTGTTACTACTACTACTACTACCATATAATATATAATGAATGACTTTTACCTTTTGAAGACCTAGTAGAGCAAGCAGTAGTGCTGCTGCTGCTGCTGCTACCACGATAATGATGATGATAATCCCAGTCACTTGGGGATATCAAATTGGCAAGTCCATTGATCACGATCAACGATGCCGAGTAAGAAGAAAGAGAGGGTTCTTGATCCGTCGTCGTTCTATTATTGACAGTGTGTAACGCACTGATCTGTTCAAGGAGTCGATGCAGCTCGCTTGCAGTAAATGCTTCGTAACAATGGATCCGTGCCATTATCTAATAAACCCGTTGTCATTTGTTTCGAAAGTGTCGTGGTGTGCACAAGCACCCCCACAGTCAGCGGGTTGCAGCACGGGCTGTTCATATTACACCCAATGCACAGGCAACTCGTAAAAACCGTCTACTTTTACACAATCCATCACCACAACAACCCATCTAGATAAATGCAATGTACGTTTCTTCACAATACACCTTGCATGTCTATATAACAACTTGCCTGTTGGCTTTGATCCCCGATCCGCCGAGGTTGAAAGGTGCCCAAAGTGTCAATGTGGTGGACTACTGCATCCGGATGCTCTTGAAGAAACGATGCCATGGTTTGTAAGACAAACTAAAGCATAGAAAAAACATGTGCTTGTTCGTTTGTAAATATGTAAAGACATATACATCATGTATCACTTTTTGGAAATCATTTACCTGTGATTTCTCAGTGCACCCGTATATTTCAATAATTTGGCCAAACTCAAATCCTCCATACAATGCAGAGTCCAGCCTTTGGCATTCATCATTCTTCTTTAGTTTTATTGGGATCACGATGCGTCTCTCCCCTTGCTTCTCCTAACAGCAGTAGCCGTCATCATTGTAGACTTACGCTGCATATCCAGTCGAAAATCGAGTGCATGTGTTCTGCCACTCCAAGTCCGTTTCGGATGCGGCCGTCATGCCAATAATGGTTTGTTGCAGTGCTCGAAGCACCTTTTCCATCCAATCGTGTTACTATCATCACGTTCATCGCCCTAAACCTAAAAATCCACCCCATTGGAAAAAAAAAAAGGCTTACCTGACACGCAACGCCTGTCTTCCGACTTAGTGATTTGATATCCACCTTCAACAACGCTATGTCTAAGCGAACACACAACAGGTATAAGCGGCACGCGTCATGTTTTAAACTTTTAATCTTGTCTTACCGGTAGTGATTCCTTCATTCGAAAGTGGACCCAGTAGATCAGTATAAGCACCCACATTGTGCGACAATAATAACGCTTTTAACTTTCTCATTAGTAAGATAAGTAGGAATGGCAGATGTTGGAGAATGCTACACAACTGCGCGTAAAGTATCGTTCACGGGGGCCACATACAATAGCGTAAAAAGACAGAACGCGGAGTTGTCCCAGACCCTTTTCTCTGTTGAAAAGAAAAACAGCAAAGTAGTTGCAGCAGGATCATATTACGTTTTTTAACGTGCTCGTGTTCAAACTACCCAACAGCCATCACTTTTATGTGTGATGGCTGTTCTATCTTGGCAGCTGTCGGTCACTGCTTTAATCTGAAAATCACGCTCCTTTTTGCACGGCCATTCCTGCAAAGACCACCTCAGGCACATGATCAATTTTTCATATAACATATTTATCGGAACCGTGACGCAAACCCCACATAAGAAAGTAGCCGTCAAAGATACTCTGTCATGCATAATGTAAGGGTTTCGTAGAATGGGACGTATGTGTATATCAGGGAAAGATAAAGAGATCAAGAAAAAGAGAGTTGTTGATTTGATCGCATCAAACAAGCAAACAAACAAAAATAAAGAGTGATGGTGGCTTGAGTTCCGCGACAAGAACTGTCGTTTTACCCATTCCACAACCCTCCCTCCCCGCTGCCCCTTTTGTTCTTGCGCGACATTTCTCTCGTTTTATTCAATGGACCAGCATTCGGTGACAACACCACCGCCTCTTGCTCGTTCTAGCAGTGACGCAGCACATGTGGCGTATAACTCTAACAAAGAGCAATCACCACCACCACCACCACCACCACCAGTGCCGCCACCACAGACAACGTCGTCATCGTCGTATCCACCCCTGACAACTGAATACGATCGATACCCACCTCCACCACCGCGTTCTTCATCGCGTTATCGTTCGGTATCACCACCTTCACACCGAGGTTCTCGTTCAACACCACCACCACCATCGTCATCATCACGACCCGAAGAACGGCGTCATAACAGTAACAACGATGACCGATACTATCAGCGTCGCGATTATCACTATCGTCGACGATCGCGATCACGTTCACCGCCACCAAGATCACGGCAACATTCCCCTGGTTACCACTCGCCTTTGAGTCGCGAACGTTATGCACCGCCTCCTCCTCCTCCTCATCCACATTCGTCGCGTTACGCTGATCGCTATTATGATCGAGAAAGTAGTAGTAGAAGCAATCATCGCCATGACAGATATGAAGATCGTGGAGGGTATTATAGTCAACGTCGATATCATTCTCGATCTTCGCCACGACACCATCATCATCAAAGACACAATGTGGATCGGTAAAAAAAAAACGTTTTCACTCTACAAACACACATATATAGAGAGAGAGATACGCGTGTAATGGCTTAGAAGGTCTAACATTGATATGTGACGTGAATCTCGTTTTTGTTATCCAGAGGCACCGCACAAGATCGCAATACATCGACCACTTTATTTGTGGGCAACTTGCCATACGCCTTTGGCGAATGGAATGTAAGTCATCAGATACTACCGTGACACATGATTAGACGCGTCAATTTATTCAAATAACCCATGGTTTCTCATCCATTTTTTTCTTTAACTTGAAAGGTCGCAAACATGTTTGATCGTTACGGCAGACTTGCAAAAGTGACGGTTCCCATCGATTCCGTTACCAATAAGAACAAAGGGTAAAGAAAAAAGATGATCATATATACTTATAAGATGTTGCTTGTATGCGTAGCCCCTTTTTTCTAACACTTTACTATTATGCCATTGTACCAAAAAAAAAAAAGATTCGCATTCGTAGAGTTTGAGGAGCGTCGTGATGCCCAAGACGCATATGACAAGTTTAACGGGTTCAGTGTGGAAGGACGAAGGCTAAAGTTGGATTGGGATATTGGATTATCGAAAAAAGACGAACATCGTCATCACCATCGAGGCGGCAGCGGTAGCAGTAGTAGTGGAGGATATCACCATTATAGCCAGCCTCCTCCTCCTCCTCCTCCTCGATATCATCGTGGATACGACGCGTCACCACCGCGTCTACCACGACAGCAATCACGAATGTCTTCACCATCTGCTTTGCGTAGTCGGTAGGTATCCTGTGTAATTATATTTGAATTGTTAGGAATCCGTTTTTAACTCTTTTTTCAAAATAGATCACCGCCACCTCCACCACGTGCTGGTTATTGTAAGCATTCAATATATGGTCTATTATTACTTTTACGAATTTCGTGTCTCTAATGTAACTCTATCAAAATCAGCAGCTACTATTACTACTACTTCGCCCATGGAACCACGAAGCTACCGACGCGGCTCGTTCGACATGTATCGTCGCTAAGCATCCCCCTATGCGTTGTTCTTTACTATTCTACTACTACTGATACCGAGTATTACTTCTTCCGATCGCTTTCCCCACCCCCCCCCAAAAAAAACCAAAAGGAAAAAGAACGTCAACTTGACGAGCACTTTTATACAATGCGACCAACAATAATGACAATCCAAAAAAATTGTCATTTTTGTGTTAGAACACCATTGTGCCTATAAAAGCAAAAAGAAACACCAACACCAACACCCTATCCTGTTTGAAGAAACCTTTGTGGGTTGGATCATTTAAAAAAACACGGTGGAAGGAGTGGATTATTACGAGACGTATCGATGATGATGATGATGATGATGATGATGATGATGATGATGATGTAAAAGCATAAAGGATGGAAACAGTATAACTGCAACTACTAAGCAAAAGACCTTTAAACATGATGGATGCATTCAACGCTCCAAAGTGGTCGAGCCATATATCCTGTAGAAAGGAAATCACCTTGTGGTATATATTATTGTCCGATCCTTTTCTTGCCACCATCCCGTACACCGTGACGCTTCGATCCTATATCTCGATTTACAAAATTGAGAGGGATTGAAAGTAAAGGATCATAGCAAGAAACGCAAGATAATTTGAAAGATGTAAGGGATTTCCTGTAAGCAAAAAAAAATCCTGGAGACGCTAGATGCGAATGCTGGTGGAAAAACAACAAGCGCAGGACTCCATTAGACGTTTCTGACTAAGAAACATGAGCTGTCATAGTAGTAGTAGTAGTAGTAGTAGTAGTAGTACTTAGCTTCAGTTGTTTGAGCAGACAACAAGCGCGTGTTGCATATAACGTTCATAGTCCTCTTGATCATCGATGAATCAGTGATTTTAAGCAAAGCACAACGAAACCACTGTACATATATGGTCGAAGAAGACGATACCCAATGACATATATATGCCACAGCATCTCCCAAAACGAGCAGTCAAGTAGATAATACAATGCCAGATTTAAACTATAGTAGCGCGCGTTTTGTCTCGTCGGTTTTTCTGATTCTTCTTTGATACGTTACACTTCATGCGTTTCGACCTTGGTGAACATCGATTGAGGGCCTTTTAACAGCTCTTGGTCAGTACGGCAGATGCTTGAATAAGGACCGGATGTGGAACACTGCTTTGAGTCGTTGCATCAAGCATTATTTCCATTTCTACTGCAAGCTTGAAGTAAGTTGCACCCCTCGCCTCTGCTATATGCGGTATGTCTCGCATTTACTTGATTGATATGATATATGTTTGGCTTAGAAAGCAACACTGCCGTATCCATCTTTACGTTCAACATAGATAAATGCATCTTGACATCCTTCGCATCATCGGAAGTCTTCTTCTGCTTCTGCTTCAAAAACTGTATGGCTGCGGCGTGACATCACGTCAAATTAATTGAATACATGAGTAAGATCAGTATATTTATGATTCGACTAATGGGAATGCATATTTATCTCCCTTTTGATTTGATAGCGATTATATACAAAAGGACTGCATCAAGGACGTCGGCGTGTACATCGGATTGGGTACCAGCCCTTCGTTGTGTGTGCTTTTTAACGTAGGCGGCCGCTTTGCCAGACCAAAACACTGCTTCATAAAGTACTGATACGTCAATAGGATATGATACCTCTTTATAAATTCTGTATACGAGTTTGAACTTACACAGTTTGACTATGTTGCGGTACCCAACACCAAATAAGAGAGCGTTTTCCAAAGCGATTCCCCTGCGATAAAAGTATCTGCATGAACAATATTTAGAAAAAGCGCTCTTTCTCATCCTTTGGTTACCAGTTGGGTTGGCAAAGTGTGAATCTTAGCAAGCCTTTTGACGGTTCTCCCAAATTTTTGCGGAAGCAAGTCATTGCGAGTGAAATCCATGCGGTTATGGGTACCGCTCTACTTATCACTGCAAATATTTGAAATATATATTTGGTAATAGATTTATCGGTACATACGGAGCGTTCTCCTGTAAGGATAACCATAAAACAGACTTACAAGTACTGGCAGAGCTTCTGTACTATGTCTGCAGTATCGAGACTATTCACATCACTGGGGCCGAAGCGCCTTTTCTCCTTTTTTTTTATCTAAGCTGTCCGCAATAGATGCTCGTCGTTTCCTTTACTCTCCGTCGATAGCGCTTCATAGGGTATTACTACTGCTGTTGCTGTTACTGTTGATGATGATAATAACGATGATGGAGCGGTAAGCCAAGTCTCATCACTCAACAGGCGTATCTCGTCCTAAATCTGGCCATGCAGTTCGCTCCGATATAATACTTGTTCTTTTTATTTAAGCGCAAACGGTATACCAGTAAAGGATGCAGCAATAAGAATTTAGCATGTTAAAGTAAAATAGAAAGTTTTCAATGTGAGAAGCAGTTTTCCCTGATCATTCTACAGTGGGCCCACTTAATTTCATAGTGACACTTTCAGATTTTTCTTTTGCTTTGTGATATTAAGTTGTGTGAAAGTTAGCGGGATTAATGAAATACCCTTCATATCGCGCTGCTATAGTATGTGCTCTTTCAAAAGAACTGATTGATCGTGTGATATACATATATCTACATCTCTGCGTGTCCCACTATTCTAACCTGCTCCAAAACGAACGACTCCTTGGAGATTTACAACCCATCTGTTGTATACAGCATGATCAATAACATATATTCTTTGATCCGTCACAATTCTTGCTCTTGTTGCCCTCATAACCTCAAACGCGTGCGAACAGTTCTTTTTCCAGATACATCTTGGTGTTACACGACTTAACAAATTTAAAGAAGTTGTCCCTATAAGGATAACGTAACACACAAACATCTCTTTTTATATCTTGCAGCTTTTTCAATTTTTTTTTTACATATGATATCTTAAGAACTACTATTTATTTTCGTTTAAATACGTCTAATTTACATATAATCTGAATATTTTACCAAGTTATTTTTACCATTCCCTAATGTTTTTGGAAATTATTGAGGGGTGAAAGTTAACGAATATGAAATTAGTGGGAAGCCACTGTACAATACTTTTGCATTGCTTCTTGCAGTTGATTATGAACATTTGCACTTTGTATATGTCCTGTTTGGAGGTTCGGTCTGGTGCATAGTGGAAACATGTACGTGTAACTTTATTTTTGAGAAATGCTTATGATGAATAATGTCAATGATTATTACTACCAAGCGATTTTTCCTGTTATATGCGGTCCAGTTGCCCAGACTTTATAATTACAATCAATCAGCTTGACAAAGATGTTGAGCCATGCTTCTCGATGGGGTGGGGCGGTGCTTGTGGATCCGGTTAAGGAAAAGGGTGCTTCAAACATATGTTTCGGTATATGAAGCAGACCGTTACACGTAAAGTATGAATTGACGATGTTGGCATAGTATGTGGTAGATGGTAGTAGTAAATTCGTCTAAAAAGGGTGTATGTGTGAGTTTTCCTTACAATCTTGAGTAGATGCTATAGCTTTGTTACCTCTGCGTTTAAATGCGGATCTGACAGGTTTTTCTCGTTTCCTAGTTTGTCACTAAAGTGCTTTGTTTGTTCCCCAGTTACTGAGCATACAATGGCAGCCTTTACAATCGAGTCTATATGACAATACATATATCTGGTCAATACAATTTCCTATATATCGATATGTCTTTATTTGAAATTATACCTTCTTTGCCGGAGAGATTTACGAATCCTTCAAAGTTTATGGCCAAGTCCTGCCCTACTTGAAGTACAATGGCTTGTTTTTCGCTTAACACAGGATCGACGGTGAGCTGTTTCATAGGAAGAATAGAGAGACGCACATTAGCAAGATGTTAGGTGGCGAAGAGAATTCTAGTGAGAATACATTTCTTCCTAGATCATGATAGACGTATATAATTGGTAGCTACCTGGACATTAACAGGTTTCTGTCTTCCGAAAAAGTATCTTGGCAATTTTAACGGTTGCTCCAGCATACGGGCTGTAAATGATTGGATTTCTTGTGCACAAAGCTACGAATAATCCAAAGAAGACCAGATTCCTTGTTGAGTTCATAGTCGCGAAATATAGTTTTACTCTTTGCTTCCCATCAGCTATAGTATATTACCGAATAATACTTAACGTCCTCACGCCTATCAAGGTCTTCCCAGCTGATCACTGTTTGGATAAATTCAAGGCAGATGTCTTGAAGTGAGGAAGGTGCAGAAATCGAGTCGACGTGCATTCGCTCATTTGCAATATTGAGTAAGGGTATTAATGCAGGGTCGACACAGAAAAATGATTCACTGTTGTTGTTTTAAAATGCGTATAATTATGTTTCTTTAGATATTAGTTTTCTTCGTGTATAATGTGCGTATCAAAGCAGAGATTTACCTAGATTTAATATATGTGCGGATCGCATGTTCATAAACAAGAGCGCAAATCTTATATGCCTCCAGATCACACAGCGTCGTATTATCCATGCCAAGAAAAGATTGAGCGACGAAATCGTACCGAGATGCTAACTCTCGGAAATGAAGACCGCATTGTTGCAGCTATAAATGATAGCACAAAAAATGAATATCAGTTCTTCTATGAAACAATCCCATTTCTTTGCTTTCCTTTAGATTTCTTCAATCCCAGTGATATTCCAGAAAAGAAACAAATTCTTACATTCTTGGCAAGTTGTTTGGTAGGCGTTGCATGATTTTGTAAAAAAAAGGATAATAGCTTGCTCATTCGTTGTGTTGTTGAAATCATTTCCATGCGAAGCTGTATATACCATATTTGGAATCGTCGAGCACCAGCAAGTGATTGAAATGCCTAATGTATATTTCTTCTAAGCACTATTCTCGATCACTTGAATCTCTTTCTCGAAACAGTACCTGAAGATATGTCAAGCTGTTCAGATAGCTTTGCTGATTTTCATCCCGAGTGGTTTCTGCTAATCCCAATAGTGAAACAGCTGTGAGCCAGCACCTGCTTGCTTCAGATCGGACCTACACGAGGAAGAAATTTTTCAGTACCTCAAATCCATATACACATTCGTACGTTTCGTCTTTACATACCATTTTACCAAGACTTTCTAAGACATGATACATGATTTCGTGCCATCCGTTGCAGCCGGCTTCAGACGCAATAATGTACAAGTACCAGCCATTATTAGTGTATGTTTGCTTTCCTTGATCCCAAGCCCCGAAATCTTCCAGGTAGTTGATGATTCTTTCAGACAACTCATGGCGTTCGCTAAAATGAATGCCTGGTGTGCGCAATAGTAGCTCTACAATACTGACCTGTATACAAGAACACGGAGATATGATCGATTAACAAAGGGGTCCACTATACTATCCCTTCTTCTTGCTTTTGCTAAAACAAGCGGTTTCAAGTTCTTACATAAAGCCTGGGTCGATCGATGCTAGCCCCAAGCGCCTGTAAAGCTGTGCTTGGAAACCAATCCGATGTATCACGACAACCACTTGAAATCTCCAAAAGATATGGGTTGAAGAGTTGTACAGCAGCATCACCTATAAATAAACCCAATAGATTAACTGTTGTTAGACGATTTGGACAATATCTTTCTCCTTTGTTTAAAAGTATTCGTACTTTGACTTGTCACCATGCGCTCAAAATTATTACTAAAAGATGTTGTACAGGCTTCATCATCCAATAGCAGTAATAAACGCGCTTGTAACCTGAGAATGTACCGTGCCTAATTACAGTAAAAGAAAAGAAAATCTTATAAGTGTGCACCTACATTGACATTTTATTTTTTTACTTTATTTTACCTGCTTTAAACTTAAACTGTCAAACCTTCCTTTGGCGACGAGTTGACCCAAATGTGATTCTTCAATCCGTTTGCTGAGTCGCGAAGCAATGACTTGGAGATCGGAAACTGCTTCGCTAGACACTTTGTTACTTTCAAAGGATCGATGTACGAGTAGCCGTAGTGACGACGACGATGGTGACCGCAGTGCATTTGTTGTATTATCTTGATGTTCAAGTGCCAGCTCAAGAATAACGGTGAGAAAACGCGCACATGCGATAGCTAGTGAGTAGTGTCCGGCGTCCAGCGCTTGGAGCAGCCGTTCTTCGCAAATATTCATGGCACGTACAAATTCTTCTCCACTTCCAGAGCGCCACGTTTCGTGCATTATAGACCAGACCAGCTGACGGTATGATCGTAAAAGTGTCTGTCCGCATGTATAGCGACGTTCCATCAGTGTGGTGCTGTTTGTTTCTCGATTTAGCAAGGCAAGTAGTCGCTAGTACGGGTTGAGGAAAAAGAAAAACAAATTTTAAGATCCATTTTACTATCGTCATTGCTGTGAATCGATAAACAATTCTTCTGCCACTTTTTTCGGGTTACGACTTACGTAAATATGAGATGTATCAATTGATAGGTCGTTCTTTGCAAGTAAAGCAAGATCGTCAAGAGCGCTGAGACAGACTGCTTTTCGGGTATCATCAGAGGCGAAAATGAGCAAGCGATCCAGCTAATAGACTCATAATGAGCTATACGTATATATGTAACTCCTGCGATCATCAGCTTTTTCTTTCATACCTGCTCCTTTCGATCTAGTAAAGCTTGACTTAGCAACAAACTGAGCGTCCGTAAGGCCACCATTACTAACCGCTGGTCCGTTTCCTTATGTTCTACCAGATTGACGCATACACTTTTTGCCTGTAATCGCGTATCCACGTACATGATGACTGATATTAGACCCTTTTGGAAACCCATCCCTCATTCTTATTCATAAAAATTACCTGTCGTGCTACTGCGATATTGTGATGCATATGCCGAAACAATTGCACAAGGCGAAGCTTGATATTGATGTTGGTTTCTAAATCTAGAAGAAAATTAATGCATATCAGTATTATTGAGAATCGCCCCCAGCCCTTACCAGCGCGTACTGTTGTTGATCAATGTTCCTCCATTTGCATATATATATTACCTCTAAGCTTTGTTTCAATAGTGGAAAACACAGTTGGCGAAAACTGGGCTGATTGTGCACAGAATCTATCGGCAGCCCAAATAGCTGCTTCAGCTTCTGCTCGATCTGATGTTTCTTCCAAACGTTGTAAAACACTGTAAATTTTATGTTGTAATTGCACCAAGTCAGTAATACTATTCCCAGGTTAACATTTCAGTGTCATTATTGCTGATATGACTTACGCATGTTGAACGTCGACCTTGTCTGCAATAATAACTGACATGCAACCCAATACCCTAGTCATGTGAGCTTTAAAAACTGTCATCCAGACCAAAAAAAAAACCCTCCCTCCTATTCTCTTACCGTAAAGCAAGTGATCGAGAAACTGGATCGTTACTGTTTAAAACAGTCAAGACACGTCGCATAGCCTCCTCTATAGTGAACACCTTGATCAAATGCTGATCGGCTAGCTTGAACACTTTGTATATATAAAACTTGATCACGTTGTTGCTGGAGAACAGCAAGTTAATAAGTTTTGTAGCGCGTGCGTGAGTGCGACTTTACTTTAAAGAAAACAGAGTAGACAGTAAAGAGAATGAGAGGCGCAAGTGTTATTACCTTGCTCGAAACCAATCAGCAAGTTTTAAAATGGCAGCATTAATAACGACAGGATAAGGAAATTGATTGAATAAATCTGTAAACATGGCTAAAGCTTGGATCTGTAGGCCCTGGATGGCAATAACGACACCGTGCGGTTTCGCGTTGAACCGTGATTCAATCTCGAGTAGCGTTCTGTGTCCTTCCGATTGTTCCCGTGAGGTCGACATTTTTGAAAAGGAGATCAAATGCGTCCACTTATAAACAGGGAAAAGAGAGAGAATGAGGAATGGAAGGAACCTAGAAAGAAAAACTTGAGATCGCGGCGGGAAAGGTTAGACAAGAGGAGCGTAAAATTAATGCTGGTATATACAAGGAAACACGAGCGCGAGATACCACTGCTAAGGTATGTAACCAATAGCGGCCCAATGTCTGGCGCTCATTTTCGTTCTATAGGAGATTAGACAGGTATACATATCCGTTGCAGTTGCAACAAAAAAGATAGTCAAATATGCTTTCGATGGAGACGAGACACCAAACAGCCTCAGATGCAATAACAGGCTAAACGTAAACACTATTACGAGCACTAATTCTTAGTTTAAGAGTAAAGAATATATGACACTATCAATAACCATGCCAAACTAACTTCCACAATTCACTTTAAAAAATATGCTATATTTACGTTGTTAAAACTACCAACTAATACTGTTATGAGCATATTCGAGACTCCCGCAGCAAAATCTGTTACTTTAGATGTTTGGCATAACTTCATTTAAGAGTAATTTTTGTACCTGCAGCCATAATTATCGACTTGGGTTTACTCTGCCAACTTAAAATCTACTTTATTTTCCTGTTACATAGCTGTATATGGTGCTCTCCCTATATGCTGGGTACCTAGTATGTCCACGCCATGAAGTCTGAGCAGTACCTCGCTTTTGGAATCAGAATCTTGGTTTGTTTTAATCATTATTATATTTTTTATTATGGTATGCATGGCATTTTGTCGGAAATAGTTGTTGTCAACTTCTCGCGTCTATATGGATGTCGTATTGTATCTATAATCGTAATACTGTATGTACACACAAAGGATGGGAAATATTATTATAGATTGATGTGGTTTTCTAAGCGGTCGTTGTTCTACGTTTCATCATGACCTTGTAGCTATTGCTCTTGACAGCCAAGGTAATAAATGCGCGTCGCTCTTCAGCTGATGCGACCTCTTCCGGAATGGCCACAATGTCATATAGTTTCACCAAGTTGGCAATAGACAAGCGCATTTCTTGTTGGGCAAAAGTTTTTCCAATGCAGTTTCTCGAACTATTTAGGGTACTCATTAACACTCTTATTCTTCGACTAAAAGAAGATAGTATATCCTTTTCTTCTATTCTTCCTTCTTTTAAGATAATAAGAATACGCTTACCCGACACTGAAGGGGAAAAATGCTTCTTGGTCGGCTGCGGGATATCCTGAGTTTTCAATCCAACGTTCAGGAATCCATTTTTCGGGCTCAGGCCAATACTTTTCATCGACTTGTGCGTGATAAATGTTCGCATGCAAAATAACCTGTAATTATAGTGATAGAGAGTATCTAATAAGTAAAAACTTCAATGGTTTTAGAGCGAGAAGTGGTACTTACGCCTTTGGGAACAAATACACGGCCATCCAAGACAACATCACGGTCAGCTATGCGTTCAGCACCGCCCACAGCAATAGAATCCAGTCGTAGTGTTTCGTTAATCACAGCGTTCAAATAGGGCAAATGTTTTAATTGCTCGCTATGAAACAGCTTTTGATCCTCCTCGAACTCAACAGCGTCAATCTCCGCCTGCAATTTGGCAAATGCTTGTGGATTCTTCATCAATTCAATCATTGCAAATCCAGTGGTGTTGCTGGTCGTTTCTGAACCGGCCACCAGGAATAAAACAGTTTCCTGGGCAATAGTATCGGCAGTCAGACGGTCTTCGGTATCGTTTGCGTGTTGTGTGTCGATCAAAATTTGGAGAATATCATCACGGCGGGCTTCTTCACCACCTAGCAGTCGTTCCATGATAATTTTTTTCATGAACTAAAGAAGATCATTACATACATGTGTAAGTGGATAATAATTGGGAAGCTTATACAGCTCGCAAAAATGTTAAGGCAACACTTACTGCCTTCAACTCGTCGTTTGCTTTCAGTATACCGCTGAAGGGGAGCATCATCAATAACACACCTAATATGGGATGGGTCACAATCTATAGAACCAAGTACATAACCACACTACCACTTAGCATTACCGATGTAGAATTTCTCTCACTAGTATTAGACGCAAATACATTACATAAGAAGATTTCTCCATGTTCGAGCTGATTGTACGTGGCACAATGTGATCATTGCCCTCCAACATGTGGAAGGTTTTTCCGAATGCGGTTTCACCAATGATATCTAATGCCAAATACTGAAGCAGGATCCAAATATCCACTTGACCATATCCTTTATCATTCTGTGTTTGCTCGATGTCACGGTCAATGCGTTCAATAAACGCTTGAGTGGTGCCACGCATGTATGTCTCTAGCGAGTTGAGGTATTTTACTGAGAAAGCTGGCGAAATGACACGTCTCTATAGTAGGTGTATCGTTTAGATATTAGTTTTACCAAGTTTATAGGTTTAAATTTTTCTGTTGAGTACTAAGGATGAAGGACAGTAAAGGCACTTACACGCTGCTTGTGAAATGCTTTTTCGCGGGTATTGAACAAAGTGGGAGGACTGCGACCTATATATATACAACATAGTGAAGACGATTTTAGAAAATTGTTAACAATATTTACTCTCACGTCTTAACCAATGGGAAAGAAATAGAATGAATACATACGCTGAAGTCTTGTGTACATGGGCCCCTTGGGCAAATCGTCCTTGAGCAAAATTTGTCGAAGCATACGCTTATCTGAAATGCCAATACGATTGGGTCCGAGACGTACAACATCGCCATATTGGTTGCGCCATTTCTTAAGCTTTTCCCACCTGTCATTTATTGGGAGCTCACGTGTGAGTTTTCTTGTGTACTTTCCCATATCCTTTCTTTGCATGAATCCTGTGCACCTTCTCATCCATTCCTTGCCATCGTCAACAATAATGCCACTGTCAACAATAACGGCCATACTTACGAAGTGCCAGGTGGACTTTCAACCCCGGGTGCATATCGCATTTCATAAAACTTGAGACCCAATGGTCCGGGAATACCACTCAAAGGGCCAACAAAAGCATCATATAATTTCTACATTTTATATCCAACAGCGAAAAAACGGGAGCAGCATCGTGTAAGTCATTGTTTCTTCAAAAAGCAATCATATAAGGAGCAAAGAGGGAATTGGATATACTTGCTGAAGAAACGAGATAAGTTGCCCAGGTGATAACAGCAACTTTACCAATCTTTTCAAGATTGCATCGGTCGACTGATACAGAAGTGATTTTCTCGAACAAATGATTGGTCAATGATGTAATATCCATAGTGATGGTTAAATAGAACAACAGTGCAGAAGAAGCGGGGATGACAGTTCCAGACCAAAAAACAATTTCTGAGCTGCTTATATACAAATGCGGATAAATTATATCCACATTGGGTCGATAGTGTGGTTAGGCGTAGTGTGACAAGGGTTCAGACTTCCCGAAGCGTACGCGACTCGTGCTACCATATACTTTACGTCAATTCTGCACTATATGAAACCACTCTCTTTTAAAGTCCTTTTACGTGCATAAATAATGTCAATGACCTGGCTGCGTACAAATAATCAAAAAAGCAACACATTTTTACGTAAATTCAACTTGCAAGGGGATAAGGCATGTTCCCCTAAGTTTGGAAAACTCTATAAATGAATTTGATCCGCTCATGCGCTAATCCTCTACTGCTGAAAGACAGCGGGAAAATAATATTGGCTCGGTAAAACTTTCGGATGGCTGCATAAGCGGATGTAATGCTATGCCCAGTCTGATAAACAAAGTTTACGGCCTGCCAAAACGTGCATCCAAACACCACATCGCACACGTGTTTGATATCATTAACTACTGTTTTTTTGAAAGATAGGGCCAAGTTATATATCTATAAAAAGAGACATTGTGCTGATCAGGTAGCTGCCAAAGATAATATTATTTCAAGTATCTGTTTTATCGTCAAAGAAATCTGTAAGATGCTAGGCAATGCACTCAATGTTAAAACATGCATGACCAGAAAGGTTCATCTCTGCTTAAGATAACATGGTCGTAAAGTATTTTACAGATGCCGCTCTTAACAATAGAAAGTAAATTGGGACTCAAGATGATCATTTAATCACCAGACGCGGACTGAATTCCGATATCGTCAATTAGCTACCCCTTTGACACTCGTGCAACAACATCATCGCATTACGACCACGACGTGGAGTAGTATTTTTAGTTGATGTGTATTCTTTTTATATAGAAGTAGTATCTACGGTTAGTTGTGATCGTCCACCAGAATATGAATAGAACAACAACGTAATAAAGCAATAGAGATGGAAGATCTAAATTTTCTAACTTTTATGATAGAGAGTTCCTAAAATTCATACGAACTTGATGATATACATAGTTGGTGATGGAAACATATTTTCTATTCTGAGGGAGCGGGTAGTAGGAACGAAACAGGTAATAGAGTAATCTATGCGGTGGTTGCTCTACGCTTCATATAGACATTGAAGCTGTTGCTCGTTACAGAGTACGTAATGAAAGATCTTCGATCATCCGAGCGTTTCATTTCCGATGGGATTGCTTCAAAATCGTATAGTCTAATTAGGTTGGCAATGGAAAGACGCATTTCTTGTTGAGCGAACGCCTTGCCAATACAGTTTCTTGAACTAAATTTGGATCGTGATATGTTTTATAAGTGACCCGCTCATTCTCTTTAACTTTTTAGCCCACATAATATGTTAAGTAACTAACAAGGAAAAACGATACTTTACCCAATGCTAAAGGGGAAGAATGCTTCTTGATCAGCAGGAATATCACTGCCTTCTAACCACCGTTCTGGCTTAAACTCGTTCGGTTCTGGCCAGTACTTGGGGTTCATGTGTGCGTGATATAGATTACAATGGATGACAGTCTGCATAGTATGGTAAGAAAAGAAAATTAGTTGAAATATATCAATTGTGGGTTACATGCAGTATGATAATAGCAGTACAATACGTACACCCTTGGGAACCATGAGACGACCACCCAAAATCATATCACGATCCGTCGTTCTCTCAAGACCGTTGACAGCAATTGAATCCTTTCGCATACTTTCGTTAATGACTGCATTCAAATAAGGAAGATGCTTCAACTGCTCGTGCTTGAACAATTTCTGACCGTCCTCCATCTGGACGCTATCAATCTCTTCACGCAAAGTTGCCAACGCTTGAGGATGCTTCATCAATTCAATCATTGCAAATCCAGTGGTGTTGCTGGTCGTTTCAGAACCGGCAATTAAGAACAATACGGTTTCTTGGGCAATTGCATCGGCTGTCAAGCGATCCTCGGTGTCGTGGGCATGCTGTGTGTCGATCAAAATTTGAAGGATATCGTCACGGCGCGCCTTTTCACCGCCTTCAAGTCTTTCCACAATGATTTTCTTCATAAACTTCAATGTACAAAACAGTAAAATAAGTGATTTTTGTTTTCATATAAGGTAGTGTTGTCATAAACTGTTAAACAGCATTCCCTAATTTTTACCTGCTTCAACTTGTCGTTTTGTTGCATAATGTCACTGAAAGAAAACAAGGTCTTGATTGCACCTGAAAGTGGATGGGTGACAAGCTATAATAATGCGTTCACATGTATAAATTAGAACGAAAACATCTTTCATTACTCGCGCCTATCCTGAACAATAATGGCATCGATATGTTACATAGTTAGCAGTCTCCATGTTACGGGTAATTGTAGCGGGTACGATATGGTCGTTGCCATCAAGCATATGGAATGTTTGGCCAAAGGCAGTTTCACCAATGATATCCAATGCGAGGTATTGAAGCAAAATCCAGACATCCACCTGACCAAAGCCATCGCCACGGTTCGTATTCGCAATATCTTTGTCAATGCGGCCGATGAAAGATTCGGTCGTTTTAAGCATATAAGGTTCGAGAGAGTTGAGATATTTCACCGAGAATGCTGGAGAAATGACACGTCTCTATTGAATTGAATCCATACCATGGGGAAGTCAGAAGAACGTTCAAATTTTGTGTTATATATCTTGTCCAAAGCACAACTACGTACACGCTGCTTATGGAAGATCTTGTCTACAGTACTGAACAGAGTACCACCTCCTTGACCTATGTCATTACCATTTTATGTTAAAAACGCAGATAACAATGGGGATAATTAAATAGGTTGCCATGACATACGCTGTAATCTCTTATACGCAGGACCCTTTGGAATATCATCTTTAAACAAAATCTGTCGCAACATCTGCTTGTCTGCAACTCCAATTGTATTCGGTCCCAAGCGAACAACTTCACCGTACTTTGTTTGCCACGCCTGATATTTTGTGTATCTATTTTTACAGCCCATCGATACAATTCGTAAACCCATTCTTATTGCTCCCGGTCATGCATCTGTTGTAGTTTCTTTGGATATACTTACGCTGCTCCTGGCGGATCTTCAATCTGTCTCGACCATCGCGCGCTATAAAACTTGAACTGGAAAGGACCAGGAATGCCACTGAGAGGGCCTACAAAGGCATCATAGATTTTCTGTATAGTTTTACGTTTGAAAATGTCTGTATTAGTACATGACTACAGAAAGAATGTCGCATATGCATATACTTACCGAAGACACTACATAGGTCGCCAAGGTGATTGCTGCTATTTTGCCGACTTTTTCGACGTCTTGACGGTTTGCTGATAGGACGCGATCGACGACGTGATGTGCTGATGACTCTAGCTTTTGCGATAACGTTTCGAAATCCATTCTTGCCAAGAAAAATAAATATTTGTTTAGAGTAGGGGGGGGGGTCAACAAGAGAAAGGAAGAAAAAGATCTTCGACAGCGGTTTCTTTTATATTAAGCGGAAATTCCAAAACAGCTAAAAAGACGATTACAGAATGGGGCAACACGAGGCGCGGACCTTCCGTTGCTATGAAATCTGCACATATAGGCTACGTTAATTCTATCAACGTATAACTCTCTTCTTGATTTTGGATGTGAACTAGGAAAAAAATGACTCATACGTCCCATCACCTAATAAGAGCAATTTCTGCCTCGTCCTTCTTCCATTTTTACATTCTAGAAAAGCGAGACAATCGAAAAGATGATTTTTTCCATTGGCAAACTTTATTTAATGTCTCATGCTTCTGGTGACGATGCAGCTGATGTAGATTATATATATATATCATTACAGCCAATTTATCGGATGGTGATGATGATGATGATGATGATAAGATCTATAATTGTTTGTTGTCTGGACCGTGTATTTGGTGGACCGTAATAATAATAACGCACTTATGATGGATGGGCGAATAAACGACTGACTCCATCGCGGAAAAAGGCCAAAATCGTTAGAGTGGTTTCCACTCAAAAGGCAGCATTGGTATGATGTAGCAATCACAACACAAATTTTGCTGGGGTTGGTGCGCCTAAACTTTCGGCTTCTTAACTCCACAAAAAAAATATGTCCGCCGCGGCTACATATATTTTCCATACCAAGGATGGTTGGTTGGCTAGATACAGTAGCACACAATGAAACGGCGGTGTATCTAGAAGATCAGAGGCAGCTGGAAGTGCAACTTCTCTCCGGCCTGGGATAAAATGATCTTACGATTACACTTACGATAAGATTAAAACTACACGCAAGGTGTCCTATATACCACCAGATCCTTATAAAGTGGACGACATGCTTTTCACCCCATACTCTTCTTTTCGTTTTCTAAGAATATTGCTTTTTTTTCAACGGATACCTTATGGATGTATCAATATACACGGATCAAGTATATGTTCTAAAGGACGCTTTTTATACAGCTGTCCTTTTCTGGCTATGCCTGGCCAGGATACAGATGACATCGAAACATAAAAATGGTCAATGTTTTGGTGCTGTGAACCTGGCATACGAGCACAACGTATGAGAGTCGGAGTGGTGATCAACCGTGGCGCTGATGGTGCTACGGACAGCAAGCGTTCGATCTGAGCCAATTCCCACGCACGTCAAAATTCATATTAAACAATACAGCTGTCAAACCTTGTGCTCCCGTCGATCAAACAAAAAATCTCTTTGCGGTTTTATGAAAAAAACATCCAAATGCTGAATCTTCCTTAGCTGTTGCATCGATACTTATTATCAATTTATAAGTCGTTTGTATTTCTCTTGAAAGACAATTTTATGTTTTCAATGCGATTTAGCAGGAATTTGGCTGCTTACTACTGTTCTTTAACCCCTGTCAGGCAGTATTTGATATGACTCTTATTATAGTGCATATGATGCTTCTTCCTGCTTCATAGACACATAATAAATCTTTTGGTATTCCGAAGTTGAGAACTGCCGTTGGACCCGTTCCATTATATAAAAAGTCCGTCAAAAAAGCGAAGCCCCTGGAAGATTACAAAAGACGCTTGATACACTGTGAGTTAGTCAGCCCTCCTGCACGTCGTCGAGGAGAAGCAGTAAGCTCAAGTCTGAGCAGTGACATGCTGTATATATATTGTTGCAGTAATCACTTCCAGGACATTGGAATCGTATTCTACGGAACAAGGTATATCCAAAATTTTATGTCCCAAACGGCTTTTTTTTTGAATCAAAAAGCCTCAGCTCATTAGCAGTAGAAATTAATGCATGCTTAACGCCGAGAGGTGAGCCAAGTTTAATTACTAATCCACCACGAAGTTTGCTTATTACTAATCCACCACGTAGTTTACTTTGGCTCGGCAAACGGCCGAATAGCCGTGAGCTGATAGCAAAACGGAACATCAATAAGGGGGTGCGAAACACACACACCCGTCAGTTCAGAAACCCGAGAAGAAAACCCAGTTGTCAACATTTACCAGGCCGACCTTCTCTTCTGCTTCAATTCATTGGCCGATAGCCCTCACCTTCTTAAATGTTGTTCTTCGCGCTTCAAAAAAATTAGCCAGCTAACAAGGACAAGCGTTGAGTATAAAAAGAGAGGGACGTCGAGTACGGTAGGGACGTTCTCTACTCATTCGACCTTTTTTTTAATCCAGCTCTTTTGAATAATCACCATGTGCACCGATAACTCTTTCCACGGATGGGCTGCTTCTGACAAAGGTACGACAGCACATCTCCTACATACGTGCACGTGGCTAGCAATGGCTACTGCATATACTCTTCCAACAGAGAAAAAAAAACAGATTATTCTGACGTTCCTCTCCTATTTATATAATAATAATTTTAGGTCAACCCCTTGAATGGCGTGAATTCCAGTTGAAGCAGTTTGAAGATGACGATGTTCAGATGGATGTCACCCACTGTGGTACGTTATCGTATACCAAGCATATAAACCAGCTTGCATTATGATAATGTTTCTAATTTTCTTTCCTCTTTGCTTTTCAATACGTTGCTTGAACAGGTATTTGCGGTAGTGACATTCACACCCTTGATTCCGGCTGGGGGCCCACAGAGTAAGTTCGATAAAATTGCGTCTTTAAACCTCGTTATTCTACACATGTCACTTATGAAAAACGTCATTTTATCGATTTTATCTTACAGATACCCTTGCGTTGTTGGCCACGAAGTAAGTATATAGCTGTCTCTGGACAATGGACACCATGGAGAAGGAATTTTAACTCCTCAAATTATTTATCTAGATTGTCGGTGTTGTGACCCACGTTGGTAAGAACGTCAAGAACTTGAAGGTCGGTGATCGTGCTGGTGTCGGCGCTCAATGTGGCTCTTGCTTGGAATGCGACAACTGCAAGTCTGGTTCTGAGAACCTTTGCGAACGCCGAGCCATTTTGACTTACAACGATCGTTGGCAGAACGGTGACAAGACTTTTGGTGGTTATGCTACAAAGTGGAGAGGCCACCAGCGCTTTTCATTCAAGGTCCCCGACAACATGACCAACGAAATCGCCGCTACTTTCTTCTGTGCTGGTGTGACCACCTACGCTCCTTTGAAGCGTGCTAATGTCAAGAAGGGCGATAAGGTCGGTGTCATTGGTATTGGTGGCTTGGGTCACTTTGCTGTCCAGTGGGCCAAGGCCATGGGTGCTGAATGTGTTGCCTTGTCGAGCTCGGACCGCAAGCGTAAAGATGCTGCTGCCCTTGGCTGTGATGACTATGTTGTCTCCAGTGACGTTGATGCCATGAAGAAACACGCCGGCACCTTCACCCATATCATCTGCACCAGCTTCGGTACCAACTTTGACTGGGCCCTTCACTTTTCTCTCATGAAGCACAACAGCCACTTTATCATGGTTGCCTTGCCCGAAGAACCCCTGAGCGGTATCCCTGCTGTTCTTCTCGCTTTCCGTCAAATCAACCTCATTGGCTCCTTCATTGGTTCGCCTAACGACATTGAAGACATGCTTCAGTTTGCTGCTGACACTGGCGTCAAGCCCTGGCTCAACAGCTACCCTATGAAGGAAGCACCTGCTGCTGTACAAGCCATGCGTGATGGCAAGGCTAGATACCGCATCATCCTGGACAACACCTCCTCGAACTAAATAGATTACATCTCATCATTGTATATTATTAACCCTCACATTCCTGCATTACAATTCGATACTACATCGCTGCTGAAGCTACAATAAATTAAACCTGATACTTTAATATTTTAGATATTTTGATCAATATGGGAAGGAGGTGTACTTTTTTAGCGAATGTGTGTCCAATATGATATGCACCTGTGTGCACAATGTGGACAGCTATAAACTAATATACCTGACCATTGTGCTACGGAAACTACTTAAAGCGGTGTCTGCTTCCCAAACTCTTAGTTGCAATGCCAGCCTTGGATACCGCATGAGGAGAGTTTAGACATCAAAGTGGTGCACTGGACCAAGCCTTTTCGCTCCACATGCTGTTCCGCCAATACACCAGACAATACAGTAAGGCTTCAGTGCTAGCCTTCCCCGACATTAAGATCACATACCACTTAGATCGATACAACATCTGGCAAAACGTCTATTCGATGCCCTCGGAACAAACGGATAATCAACCCAACCCTTTGTCATACGGCCTCATCTCGCAACCGTCATCGACTGATAAAACGGCGAATGCACTGGTTACTCTCTTACCTACTTCGCGAAGTGGGTGCCAAGCTACACGATCTGAGCGAGGTACTGGAATCTCTCAAGGCCACAGCCATCCTCTAGCGCCCTCACACAAGATTCACCTTATTGAAAAATCTCCCTAAATCGCAACGCAGGTTCTCCCAGGGTAAATGGCTCAAAATCTGGACACCACTGCTCGCCACACTGCGCGAAATTGACCGTCTGAGCCACACCAATACCGAATACAACGACGACGATGACCCACTACTAACAAGCGCTGAACCACCTTCACAGCGACTCCCTATATATTCATCCCACCAAGAAGTGTGGGCTTTTGTTATGTATATCACCCGATAATCGCTTTCTCCCGCTCATCTTGCGACCACCTTAATCATTCTTCTGTTTTATCTTCTATTCATCTTCCCACTGGGTTTCTTATTTTCCTACCACCCGTCTCTACTGTAACGTTACTATTTAATCATCGATGATTCCGTACCGCAAGGAAGCGACCGTATGTCTTATCGCGTTGGCCAATCCAGTCTTCCATAAATAAAACAAACATATAAACTATAACCTAATACAGTTAACCCCGCTTTTTGCAGCCATGGGATTTTGGGGGATTAGGCTGCAAAAAACGGGAGGCTGCAAAATACGGAAATGATAAATAAGGGAAAAAGATACAGCCGTGAGCTCTCATTGATTATACACCAATGAAGGACAAACAGTTTCTATACATCAGTGAAGTATTCTATATTATTATTCTATTATGTTAGCTTAAACATATTGAAGGAGACCTCTTTCAACTGCCTCAAGAAAACCAATGTTCTGGATGGCATAATCGCAAGAAGCAACACAACAAGCGATAAATTGACCAATGCTGACAAGGAGGTATACAATGGTAAGATGTATAATTCCAATAGGGACACATGTAAATCGAACGTCAAAGAGCTCCTACCCCTTCCTTCATATATTGTCTGTGAGAAGACTGATTTGATGTAAGCAATCATTGGCTCTTGGATGAAGCAAAAATGGATGAGCTACAACACTTATTGCAATTAGATGAGCTATTAAAAACAATCATAGCTGATAAACATTTTCCAAAATAATCATATAGCGGAATGGCTCAATTATAAATTCCTTGATCAATCAGCTGATAAAAGTATATGCATGGAATCAGTAAATGCTTAGTAGACAATTGGAGGAAGCCTTTTTAGGTCTGCAAACTGCACAAAGGATTTACTCATGACTTGCTGCAAAAACTGAATGGGTGCAAAAATTAATCGTGCAATGAAAGCGGGTTGACTGTATAAGAAGGGTGGGCTTTAGCTTGATAACAGTTAGTAAGGAGTATGGCGATAGCCGGTTTCTTTTTTCAGTAAGCCAATAAAGGATGAGAATGAGTATTCCGCAGTGGCAGTAATCAGAGCCATCCGAGCCACATAGATAATCAAACACGGATGTTCGTACTATCAAATTTGATTGGGTGAACAGGAAAAGGCATTTGGGGGGATCGGAAGTATCGGCTGAGACATTGGATGAGCATGCTTAATCTTGGCTGACGACATCCTTGCACTATTCTAGTTGAATTCTTCATAGTACTCGTCGCCTTGTTTCGCCGTGATGACACCTAGTGTCAATCCACTCGTTTTGGAAGATGTATGGCGGATTATAGAACAAGGCAGCTAGGCCAACCTTAAGCTTCTTACTGCTGTTTGTGTTGTCTGCCAGAACGAGCCCACTTTGTACCAACGCAGGATCATACGAAGCGATAACATCTGGACGGCAGGTTTCCCAAACTCCTGAAAAACAATCCACGAAACGACCACCTTCACATATATGACGTAGCATATATTCTTCTGCAAATTTCCTGGCCAAATCTCGTCCACCGTTCTGCATATTGGTGTGGCATAGATCTGTTTACTTCTTGTGTATCTAGCTCTTTTACATTTATCCCATGTTAAGGTAATGGACGAAGTTGATATGTGTATTATTCCTAGGATGCCTTTTCTAATCAACTGTTTATACCATACAGAGCAATAGCTGATACTTGCCGTCTTATGTAGTCTGATAAGTGAGGTAAGCATACCCATTCCCTCCTTCATAATATCTACCTTCGTCGTGACCTGTATCCTAGCTAGAAGTATGACAGTAATAGTAGTAGTAGTAGTCGCGTCCTTAGTTCTATTTCTCTTTCTACTGTGTACTTTTTTCAAATGTCGTTTTTACAAATAAAAAATTTTTATTCTGAACTGAAAAATCTGAACGCCCTCTTGCTTGCTTGCTTGTTTGTTTACGCCTATTGAAACGATCGTTGAAGCTTTCTCTCGATCCCCCAATATGCATAACCCCCACTCCCCCCACCTTGTTAGATGCTCAACCGTAAAAGGCAATTTTTTTGAATCCTTCATTGTTTATAAACAAATCTGCACAAAAAACCTCTGGGTGTGTATGTTCAAGCTTACGATTTTGTTCTGGCTGCTGGTGAAGCTGCGTCAATGCAAAGTCGAAGCATTTTTGATTGCTGCGTTCAAGACATCGCAAGCAATTTTATCGTCGTGCGGTTACCTCGCGATGATTTCGTCCTTAATAGCACTGACGAAGATCTTGTTGTCGAAGTTTTCGACATGTCACAAAGTCCAATAACGAGAGCGCCACAGAGAGACTCGTTGAGCGTCAATAAGTCGAAGTTTGGGACTCGCTGGTGGCTCAAAAACACGACGTACAACTTTGAAAAAATCGTTTACTAAACCCATTCCTTCAATCTTTTCTTTATAACATTTCTCTTCTTAATACGTTACCTATGTCTCATTCCTATACCCTTTGTTGATTATTCTTCTATGCATTTTAACGAACCTCTTTTATATTCTTTCTGGATGATTTTTCTATGCGTTTTATGACCACCTTTTATATTCTTTCTGTATGATTCTTATGTCCGTTTTCTATGCCCCTCTAAATCCTATTTTTTGTCTTTCGCTTCTTTTCTTATATGCCAGTTTTTATTCAATGTTAATTAATATATTTTATGCCTCTTCAGTAAAGTGTTGTGTTACAACTACAAACAGATTATTTTTCTGTGATTGCGTAATTACATTTTCATTACAAAGACATTGTAAAACTGGCAGCTTAATTAGCGAAAACCAATTGTGATTGGACAGATCGTGTACGTGGTGGGTGCTCACTTCCAGGAGGGGGGTGTTGAATATGCGAGAGAGTTGGGGGCCAGACCTGAAAACGGATGGTGAGGGTGCACAAAACACCTTTTCGTACAAGAAATGCAAACAAAGACGCACCAAAAAAGTCTCCCAGGTTGTTTGGTGGAGGCTGCTCACCTCCTTTGAAAACGGGCCGAAATTGTGTCCAATAAAATCATGGTTTCTTAAAGTTTATCAGTATTTATATACAAAAAAGGATTTGTTTCCTCTGGGTGTGTACCCGGTTTATTTGTGTCTTTATTTACGTGAGTTGTTGCTCAGCAGCAGGAGGAGCAACATAATCAGTACTACCATTATTATAACATCGAATCGCCTTGGCAATTTTCTCCGCGTGGTTCCGCGAGCTGTAGAATTTTAATCCATGTATCATCAAACTATCCTTTTGCACGCAGCTAGAGAAGGCGCAATGCGAATATATTTATACTTTGCTGCTTAGTGATGTGCTGCTGTGCATTGCACCCCTGATCATTTAATGCCAAGAAGGCCAAGAAACAATCGCAACGACAAACCACAGATATGGATGCGAGCTTTAAACCTGTCATATTGAGAAAGAGAGTAAACAGCAAGCGACTTTGCCACATCATCGTAATCGTTTATTTGCCTTTTGTGGTGCATGTGTGAGAGTATAAAGAATAAAATTTCTTCCTTCGGGATTCTCCTCCCTTTTGCCCCCCACTTTCTACACAAAAAGAATCAGGACATGGATCTGCAAACTATATCGCAGAACTTTGAGTCCTCAGCAAATTATATCGTCAACCGCGTTCTATCCACGAATCGTCAAGACGTCAAGACGCTTGGTAAAGTCGTTGCAATCACCTTGGCAGCATACATTATTTCTTCGGTAAGTATTTCGTAGCAGTGAAAAAGAGCCTCTTTTACATACTATTTCACTTCCTTCTTTGGAGAGTGCCAATTATCCATCATTTTGTACTTAGTGACAAAACAAATAGAAACTCTATGACGCCTTTCTAGGCCCTCTCAGTGGCATTCCTGGCCCTATTCAGCTCAAGCTGTTCAGCTTACGTTTTTCACGAGAAATTACAAATCCACCAGGAAGAGCGTGAGTAATTCGGGTTGGTAATGATGATAGTGATACAAAGAAAGAGTCGACAAGAAGAATCACGATTTGACAAAAAAACTAGATACGAGAAATTCCAACGATGGCAAAACCAATACGGTGATGTCGTCCGTCTTGGTCCCAAATCCATCCAAGTAGCAGATAAACATATGGTTCGACAAGTTCTTTTTAAAGACGATCTCCCAAAAGGCCCCGACTACGAACGAATGTCACGTATGTTGAAAGCAACAGCATCTTCGAATTAGCCTTATGCTTCGATGATCAAGGATGAACGGATGGCTAATAATATATACTACTCTATACAGGTGATGGTGGCCCTACTCTTTTAAGTGCAACGGATAAGGTCTTTCATAAGCAACGAGTAAGTGATTTGCTTAAAATCAAGAGAGGAAGTGGAAGTAAGATTGATCCGATCCGAACGATTTTTTTCACCAACAGCGACGCGTTGTCTCACCAGCATTCTCGGTCAAATACCTTAATTCCCTCGAGCCTTACATGTTAAATACAGCCGATACATTCATCAGAAGCATTGACAGGGAAATTACAAATTCTAAGCGCAGTGATGGATATGGCCAAGTGGATATTTGGATTTTGCTGCACTACCTCGCTCTTGACATTATCGGTGAAACTGCGTTTGGCCAGACGTTCCATCTGCTCGATGGTGATGATCACATTGTACCCGCTACAATCGCGCGTGAATTGGAAACAGTCAGTTATGTGAGTAGTGTTACTGTTTTAAGCATGGAAAAAGGTACTGTAAGACAACAAGTCATTGTACTAACTGGGGTTTATTTTAGATAATGACCCATCCAGTTATGGGCTTGATTAAGGCATTACTCTCTTTCAGTGACCTTTCCAAAAACAAGCGAAGGCTAAAAGAGGTATTGACAAATCGAACTTGGAACAAACTTACTTATGCTAAAGTTTACTGTCATGGCTCTATTTTACTTTGCAAGTTCATGACAAAAAGCATTATGGAGCGACTCAAAGGCGGCGAAAAGGATCGTCGAAACGACATTCTTCAGATATTAATCGACACTCAACACGCAAACGAAACCGAAGATCGGTTGACAGCTGAAGCAATCGCCCAAGAAACGATTTTGTTTTTAGTTGCTGGATCAGAAACCACGAGTAATACTATCGGGTTTGCTATTATCGAGCTTTTGAAGAATCCACATGCGCTGGCCACTTTGCGCAAAGAAGTTGACAGTATCGAATCAGAGGATGGTCAAAAGCTATTCACGAACGATCAGTTGAAGCAACTTCCTTATTTAAATGCGATTATCAATGAGACAATGCGTATCAATCCTATTGCTGTAGTTGGCCTTGAGCGAATAACGGACCGTGACACAATTCTCGCTGGACGGTTGTATGTACCAAAAGGTGTAAGTTGCCAACTTCAATTAATCCACTACATTGCTTAATGAGCATCTTTTGAATTTCTGATTTAACTAATTTATACAAACTTCCTGTTATTGCAATAAGACTCAAGTACGATGTAACATTTACAGCACACACTTGAACCCTAAATACTGGCCCGAACCAACTAAGTTTAAGCCGGAACGATGGTTGGACGATAGCGATATTCCTGCTGACCAGGAAGCGTTCTATCCTTTCAGTGCTGGGTTAGTAACTTGATTTTTGCTTCAAGAACCTCGGTAATGTCGCACTTTGACTTATCTCCATTCCGAAAATTATATGTAGATCAAGAAATTGTATCGGCAAAGGATTTGCACAGCAAGAAATGCGTCTTACAATTGCAAGTCTTGTCAGACTATATGATTTCGAAGCCATCCCGGCAGAAATGAAGGCATCTGATGAAAGGACGTCCTTTGTTACATTGTCTGTGCAGAGTAATAGCTTTAAACTCTATATGAAGCGTAGAGGAACAGCATAGCTCGCTTAGGTCATCATGTATTTATCAATTATTATGGTTGAATATAACAATATCCTTTCTTTTATTATTGAGAAATTCAAGTTATGTTTCGTTTGCTCCCCATTTTACGTATCCAAATGTCATACTAGGAGTTGACGCTTTAGTGTACTCTTTTGGTGTATGACAAAAAATACAGGCCACGAGCATGACAGTTTCGTTTATTTAATCGATAAAATATGCCATTGCGGGGCGAAATGTCGCATTATGGTTACGTACGACGACATAACAACTTTGAACGCTCTATATCATTAGCATCTTCGAGCGAACGTCAATGAACCTAGTATCGCCTAATCGAACATTGGAGGCACTGGCAGGCAATGTAGGACCCTGCACGGCAACCGTAGGAGCTACAAGCAAAGCGATACCTATGAAAAATACAACCATTTAGTACTCCTCCAACTAATCATCACGAAGCTTAAACAGGTTTCAATGCTGTTCTTTGGCATATTCAGAAAATTGAAACTGGGTCCTTTGTATCATTGAAAAGCGGTAAGTACAATGGTCACGCGATAATCTTGATCACCTTTGTGGCGCCCAAAGTAACCAAGTTATTATAGTATTTTAAGTGACAGCTAAAACCATTGATTTGGTGATGCAAGAACGTGATCAATTTATAAAGTATTCAGTTGTCGCGGGGCGCTGTAGTTTCTGCGTATGAAAGAGTGTCTTAATTTGCCATTCATTCTATCTCTAGATGCAAAAACCCGAAGTATGTCTTTTCTTAGTCAGTCATTCACAGAAGTATCGTTGAGTGGTTGGAAATTTTTGTTTTTGTAGATACGAAAATCGAATACATAAGAGAATCATATTGACGCTGTGTTTAAGCACCAGATCATAGAAAGTATCATCTCCACTAACACCAACACCAAAACTTCGTCTATGATGCTGCTACGCCCGAATCATCGAGTACAGCGGCTATACAATCAACGACGCGGGAGCGTCACCGCTGCATGGGGCGCTGTGGCAGCGGATGTCACAGAGAATCATTTCATCGACGCTGACACGTATGTCAGCAGCATCTCTTTACGCTACTGCCGCGAGTGCTTCACCGAGATTATGCGCGAGGAAGGAGAGCTGTAAGAAGCGATTTTTGCAGCAACCTGCCTCGATGGGACAGCGCCGTCCCAATTTGACATGCTGCGCGTGGAAGTCTTTTCCCGTGTTATTTTGTTTCAATGGTAAATTGAGATAATATATCGTATGTGGCACATAAGTTGATTGCATCTTAATGGAAGAAAGGGAAAAACGTGACGTAACGTTAACAACTTGATCTCGTTGTGGTGCTTACAGTATTAGCTAGTAATAATAAATCAATGCATTTTATCAAATCGACATAGCCCAAATGTTGTCCTTTTTTTCTTTCTGTCCGCGGAGGACAATGTGTAGGCAAAAGTAGATGTGGCAGCACAAGTAATGTTGCAACAGCGACGTAACCAATAAGCAGAAAAGATGTTGACAGAAAGAGCTCATCCAACCGGGCTGTCAAAGATCGCGACTGCCTTTTTCGGCGATCAATTCGGGAAATCAAAATGAAAGAAAAATTTTTCTCGCCAGTCTATAAAAACAGCCGTGAGCGCGCTGTCTTTTTTTAACGCACTCTTTCGTCTTCCAAGACAAACACACAAGGTAATTATCGTTTCTGTATTCTTCTCCCCTTTCATAGCACACATCCTATCCCGTCCTTTTTCAATATGATGATATGTTGTCGCCCCAATCAGAGGAAATTATGCTGATTGCGTGCTCGCAGCCAAGAGCGTTTATCTGAATACACACCAACACAACACACCTTTGTTTTGCTTTCACTGAAAACTTGAAGGAAAGAATATTGTACTTATCAACTTTTCACAGTGTTTTGTCTTGTAGACCATGGCATCCAGCCTTCTCGATCTGTGAGGGATCATCAGATGCGTAGTAAGGTGAGGCTTTGTTTCTGTTTCATGTCGCAAAGGGAAGGGGCGGGAAAAGAAAACGGTTGGTAAGGAAGCATGCTTGGAATGATGACTTTATTATTTCATGCTAACACCGACTGTTGCTGTGGAGGAACACTTTAACTGACATGGCATGCAATTCCTTACTATGGGAGAGGAGGGAGGAAAGGATGATTGCGTTAACTGTGTGTCAAGCGCCGTTCTCTAATTCTTTATACAGTATATTTCTAGGTATGCTCTTCGTAATATAGATGTTTAGTCGCGTCATTCGAATTTTTTTTTTTTTTTGAATTATAATAAATTCAAGCCTTCTGGCCACAAAAATATCTCTTTTCCCTGCATGTGTACGTGTAGTACTGTTTCATCATGAAGTTTGATTCTCCCTTGATTCTCGATGGTGGTCTAGCAACCGAATTAGAGCGCACATTCGACAAAGATCTGTCAGGTTAAATTGCAAACGCGTGAAATAAGTACACGTTAAAGCTCAAAGAGACCTTATAACTGTTTAGGTCGCTTATGGTCCGCCCATTGTCTCGATCAAGATCCTGATGCAATTAGAGTAAGCTTGCGAAAGTTTGGATAAGTTCAATATAAGCATCCGTATAAAGTGCTGATTGAGGTTGGACTAGGCTGTGCATGGATCATATTTTGAAGCAGGCGCCAATGTTGCCACGACAGCCAGTTACCAAGCCTCAATCCAAGGGTTTCTCGACGCAGGCTATTCACGCGAAGAAGCCGTGAAGCTAATGCGAAGAAGCGTGCAAATAGCTCGCGAAGCACGCGATGCTTATGGCAAAGGTTATGTGGCATTATCCATGGGTCCTTATGGTGCCGTGCTGGCGAATGGTGCTGAGTATACCGGTGACTATGGCAACGAAATCAGCATGGATGACCTGGTTGCCTTTCACCGTGAGCGTCTCGATATTTGCATGCAAGGTAAGCAGTAAGGGGGGAGGCCTAAGAAAAGTGGCTATAATCTTATCATGCGTATGTTTATTTTGAATCTGACGTCAAAATTAGAACCAGGCGTCGACTTTATTCTTTTCGAAACTATCCCATCGTTTTTGGAGGCACGAGCAATACACAAACTGATCGAGGAAAAGGTACAAGAGCTGCCACCCGTAGCTGTCTCTTTCTCGTGTCGATCCAATGAGCACATCTCGGACGGGACGTCACTGCATACATGTCTGGAGTTGCTTGGAAAATTGGACAATATATTTGCTGTGGGCGTGAATTGCACAAAACCAAAGTACATTGCTGCTCTTTTGGATGTGCTTCTTAGTAACAGCAACAACAATAACAAGGCCATCCTGCTCTATCCTGACGGGGGTGAAGAGTGGGACGCTATTGCACGTAACTGGAATTCATCGACCAAAGTGTCGACTGTTGTGTTTGGTAAATCCATGGCCGGATGGGCAGCGCAGGTCACGGCCAAAACGGGCCAAAATGTCATTTTGGGAGGTTGCTGTGGTGTCGGCCCAAAGCATATCTCGTGTATCAGAGAGGCTATAGAGATCGCAAGCATTACGACTGCTCAGTTGCCATAGTTTTATAGCGGTTAGCGATTTGCATGAGAAATTCTATTACATCGAAGATTCCAGAAAGTAGCCTATTTTTATTCGATTATATTCATGTGTGTACCAATTGTATCCATATATTGCTACGTGTCATGTAATTGACCTACTCTCCATCGTGCTCTACATGAATTGAAATTATAACACTGCGCTTCTGTTCTTTTCAGCTTCATTGTTTGTAGCTATTATCCCACCCTCTCCACATGTAATATGCAGCTATATATTCTACAGCACACCCATCTAGTGGATTAATCGGTCGGCTTGTTGAAGGTCCTCAGCGCTTTCAATTCAAGAGCATCTCCAACTGTCGTTCTAAATTCTATTTTAGCATTCTGAAATAAAAAATTCCCATTCTCCAACGGTCATGCTATCGCTATTCTATTTTAGCATGAGCTCTCTCGTTCCTATTATTCAAGTTCTTATTCATTTGTCAAAATGTCTTCAAATTCCACTCCCCCTTCTTTCAATGCCGATTTGCGTGTCGGATCGAGCTCTGTGACCCCAGCTGTTGCCGAATCGTCATCTGCATCAGCATCAAGAGGCAATCGCGGTCCCAGCTGGACCGTTGAAGAGGACGGGTGGTTGTGCGAGTCCTGGATTGCCAAGTCAATTCGCTCGTCGAAGGGCACTGACTTATCTGCCAGTGTGTTGTGTGAGAGTATTTGCGAAGATTTTTTCCAAAGGGGAGGAGGTGAGAACGTGCGCATTGGGCACAGATCCCTCTCAAATCTATGGAGTACCATCCAGCAAGAGGTGCCTAAATTTGTTGGTTGTCTTGCTCACGTCAAGGCACTCAAGAAAAGTGGACTTACGATTAAAAATGAGGTTAGAGAAATCCACCCTTCATAAAAATAACTAATACTGATCGAGTTTTCATGAGTTAAGAAAGAGGAGGCGAGGAAGAAGTATAAGAACGATACGAAGACCATTTGGGAGTATGAGCACTGCTACAAGAAGCTCGAAAATGAACCAAAGTTCACGATTGAGCGTGGAGCAAAGAGTCAAAGCGCACTGACTCCAGTAGAACGCCCTACTGGTCGGAAGAAAGCCAAGGAGCAGGAGAAAGAGGAGGGTATGCGTAAGCGTAAGTCGGATGAAGACTGGGTTCTGTTGGCGAGGGTTGTAGAAAGGCATGCTGCGAACAATCGCTTGCGCATCGAAATTCAGGACAAGATAAACGATGATGAAGTGATGAGGGAGGACCTCGCCATGTACTCAGGCAATGAACATCAGTACTGGGAGTTGAGAAAAGCCGAAGCATTGAGGAATGCACAAAGCTCGAGCTCAAGCCATAGAGACACGGGCATCCAGTGAGCAAGCTGAAGAACAGCAAGTAGACAACAACGATAGAACAGTAGAAGCTGTTAAAGAATTAAATTACTTATTTTGCGGTTACTAAATCATATTACCCTGATGCTGCCACAGATGTTCAACAAGGTCGTTCTTAAGCTGATCATGGACAGCAGCATCCTTGATCTCGTCGTATCGACTTATAAAATGCTCCATTGTGTTCCTGTCTCTGCGAACAGACAACAGTGGCACTGATCCAGCACTGCCAAATCCTTCGTTTCCATTGCCATTGTTCAAATTGTCTTGGGGGTCACGCGCTGATCTTCAACAATCATCTTACGCAAGATTATGGATGCTCGCATAACAATCGAAAGATCTTTGGGTTGCCATAGTTTTGCTGGCTGGCGGATTATGGCCCATCTACTGTGCAAGAACCTAAAGGCGCGCTCGACATCCTTGCGGTAGGCTTCTTGCATGGTGGTAACATCTATATAGAAGGCTAAACTTGTCGAATCTAATGTAAAATGGTAGAATTACCTTTTTTTTTCCTCTCGATGGGATGCTTAATTGAATCCACCAACGTGAACCATGGCGGGTAGATACCATCAACTAAATAATACCCTTTGGTATAGCTGTTGCCGTTAATTGAGTAATTCACTGGCGGCATGAGATCAGACACCAGATCGTGAAAAACGAGTGAACGCTGCAAGACATTGCTGTCATTGAGCGTTCCTGGGAGACCGAAGTACGCGTGCCAAATCCAGGTTTCAGCGTCTGCTGCAGCTTCAAGGATAACTGTAGCTCTCTTTTCTTTGCCTTGGTATTGGCCCTTCGATCCTGCAGGGCAGTTTTTCCATTCCCAGTGCATGCAGTCCAAGGAGCCAAGCATGCCAGGAAAGCCTCGTGTCTCAGCCGCCTCAAGAAGCCTCTTATTATCATCCTCGTTCGGTGAGCGAAGGTACTCGTCACCAAAACGCGGCTGATCGCCAAACAGAATCGCTTAAGTCACTCCAGAGCAGCGCTTGCACCAAGACGAACATACTCATCGGTGGAGTCAGCAGATACGCCATATGCAAGCTGGCGAATTGCTGCTGTCGCTTTCTGCAGTGGCGTCAATCCCGGTTTGTGTGCTGCATCATACTTTTGCGGAAAGTAGTCGTCTTTCTGCTCTAGTTCGCTAACAATCCGCTCAAAAAGTCGACGGCTCATGCGAAAGCGTGTCCGAAACTTATACTCCGGGTAAACAGGGCGTTCACCGAAGTAGTCGTCATAGAGACGCCAGTGGCATGCAACGCGATTGTGATTGATCACTAGAGGACCAGGAACAGAACCTCCATGCTTGGTCATGCGTTCCTCGTCCTGATTGTCCTCCAACGCTCTTCGAAGACGTTCGACTCTGCGCTGTCGATGACGTTCTTCCTCTGCATCTTCTCCGAACATTTCGTTCAATTTGCGTATATTTTTGCTTGACATTGTGTTCGGAATGAGTAGTTGAAATAAGTTAAATGTTAAGTTTAGTTGTACTTTGATGCATGTCGGTTAAATATGTAGACGAGGTTTTCCCAGGTTACGACCGCAGATTCTGACATCATATCTTCCATTTAAAGTGATTTGTACCGTGTGCAATGTCGTTCGATTAAATACCATTACATATGTCGCACAACGTCAGTCGCGTCAGTTTCCTGAACAACACGTCTTAACTTTATACGTTAAGGAAACAGTAATATGAAAACCACACCTTTCAGTTATAAAGTTATAAATTCAGGCACCTGAAGTGAATAAAAGAAACTCGCTGCCCTGTGCACACTACCTATTGATAACCAATGTGTAAAAAGAGGTGGATAATAATTATTTATGTATAAGAAGAGGGCGTTTAAGGCAGGAAAGAAGCTATTTACTGTAATGTACACTCAAAATAAGATCTACACATCATCGGTGCGTTTGTCGACGAATATCTCTAATACGTGACGAAGGTTAGTAACGAAACCAGTGTCTTGATCCACAAGTTGGATCAAATCGATTGTGTGCAATCGTTCCTTGACTGCAATAAATCGAACATCAACTGCTTGTGATGTTGAAGGGCCGAGAGGGCTGAAAATACGAGGGTTTAGTATAATATAGATCTTTCCTCATGCTTTCCATAAATCCAATAAAACAAAGGTATAAGTACCTTAGTCGCACGTTGTTTTCTAGACAAATGATATCCGCTTCATGCGTCTCATTATCAAAATACTGTCGCAAGAATTCTGTACGCATAGACAAGCGAAGAATTTAGACCTAAATATCATTTCTATGACAAGAAATCACACAGTGAACTGTACCTGCTTCATCCATGTATGGGTCAATGGGGTTTTGTTCAATAGGCAGCGGTGGCAACGTTGTCTTTACCATATGTTCTGCCGTATGCTGTTGACGCTTACGGTTGGGTATGGTGACCATAAATCGTCGAGTATGCTTGGAACGGTTGACAATAAAGATCTGTAGCGGGAATATTTTGCCGACAGTGATGCTGGCCGGCACCGTGAAGGACACGACAATACCATCGACCACCTCCGATTCGGATTTTCGTGCAGGTACACCAGGCACGGGTGGTGCGCGCTGACCCACTGGTGTCTGTGGACCAGATTCTGCAATATTTGATGTAGCCATTATCATTCTCTTTCTTCCATCCATCACCTGGCCCAATGGACTGCCGACCGACCGTGCACCCGGAGACACAGAGACACTGGTGGAAAGCGATGCAGCAGACGACCGTGAAGCTATAAATGAGTTTGTAGAGGATGCAAGGAGCGAAGAGAAGCGTGGATCGGGTTCTTCTCGCTTTTGTCGCATCCCCATTACGTCCAGCATAGTGTTCCACTTGGATCGCATCGGTGCAGCGCGCACACCGTCAATAAGTGGAGCTCCAAAGACTTGAATTGATACGCGTTGTGGCTGCAACCGCTCATCCTGGTAATGCACTGGCATGGCTGGCGTGTTCCGATTACGCGCTGGGAACATGCGTGGCATTTGTTGAGGAGGTTTTGCTGATCCGTCTTCCAAGAGGGTTACGTTGTACAAAAACACCATTTGATCTAGCGTTTCCAAGGTGATGGGAAACTTTACCTAGCAGCAAACAACGACAACCTTTTGTTTGAGCCATGTTTTTCTCTTTCTTCTTTACTTTAACAATCCAATTGTTTCGATTCTCCTTACGTCATTCGAAAAGGCCACGGAAACCACCGCGTTGGATACTTGGACCTCCACCTTATCGACAACAAAACTACACGATGTTTCCAGCGGGTTCTCAAGTTCTACTGACATCATCACCATTTTATCGGCAACAGAGGCGTTGGTAGTTCGCATTTTCACATTGACGCCTGATCGCACGGAAAGCATTTCCCGGACATGTCGTCGCAATGTAAGCATTTGTGATGTAGAGTGGCTGCTTTGCGAGAAACTGCCACTCGATTGCCTGCTATGCTTTTCAATAACAAATCGTTGGTGTAATTTTGCAGTAGAGAAAACAGGATCTATTATGATACTCTTCCTTTTAGCCATCGCCTCTTCTTCTGTAATACTGGTTCACTACCTGTATCATACCTTCAGAAAGCCCATTGAGCAAATCAATTGTCTCAAACATATCTGCATCATAGTCTTCCGTGCCCTCCTCTGTCTTATCTTCATCCTGCTTATGAGATCGGTTGTTTGTTGTCATAGGTCGATACGATACATTGAAGGCAAACGATAGTAGAGGATTATTGCTTCGTGTCTTGACATATACTGATAGCATTACATGATCATTCAGCGCTCTAAACCATGTCTCAAGGTCGGTTGTCCCACTATTTCCAACCAAATCCTAACAGATAACTTACAAATAGGCACCGTCAGCGAGTAAATGCAGCAATATGCCTCTTCATGCTCAAACACGATTGGTTCTGGATCCTTTCCTCGGCTATTGTATGTGTGCGAGAAAAACGGTAGAGCAGACTCGTTTGCAGGCTGTTGTGGTGGCGTGCCTGCAGACATGGGACCGCGTTGACCCATACTGAGTTCGCGCTTATGCGTTTTCGGCGACGACGGTGCGGACGACGATGGGTTCCACTTCTGTGTAATGGAGCGGTGGTGAAAGGAAGAAGAAAACGAGGACGAAGGCTGGAGTGGTGGAGGGACGGCTGCAGGCTGTGGGTGTGGGTTGCTATCGACAATGCTGGTTTCGAGGTGGACATCAAGTTGGTTGAAGAACGTGTTAATGGTTTGCTGTACTTCATCGCCTGTACCAGCAAGCTGATGGGGTATACGCGCATACAAATACACTTTCAAGTGCTCATCTGAGAACGATATATTTCGATGGTGAGTCCGAGAATTATAGAATATGTGTATAGATATGGGTGCGGTATTTACGAATTAAAGTTGTTGAACACACAGGGTACATACCATAGAATGTAAATCGACGAGACGGGGTTGAGAGTATTTCTTGGGGAGACGGCTCGGATTCAGTTGAAACGTTGGGAATCAAGACGCGAAACTCGGCTTCATTGAAGAACAGCTCCGAGGATATACCACTCGTGTCCATTCTCGCTTTCGCTTTTCGAGTTTGTAGAAGGAAATAGGAGAGCTTTAGGGTTGCTTGGTGCCTGAATAATTCGCTACTCTAGGGAAACTCAGCGTTATTTAGTTTGTGCTGAATTTTGTTGCACAGGGCCAAATAGACTTGCTTTTTTCCCCGTGTATACAGTACTGCTGATCGATAGTGAAAGCAACAGATAACAGTGGGCAACTCCATATCTACTGGTACCTGTCGCTCACCATTGAAAAGATCATCAAGCAATCATGTGTACTTAGATAGCTTCACTACTACTCAACCACGTTCTTTTTCATGCTACATATTTGTGCGTACGTACTGCGTTTTTGGCTTAACGAAAGTTTGAAAATGCGCACTGAATAACGACGTTATCTCGCTCACACACAATAACTTAAGAGCGTGGTAAATTAAACATGGAAGGTGTTGGTCGAATCACATAATGCAACATAGAATATTGAAGATAATATACATGGATCTAGAGACATGTACATATACGCTCCGCTTGGAAAATGCCATTAGATAGCATCATTTTTATACAGAAGATATATGTCAACTCCATAGCGCTAGTTCTTTGTCACTGCTCGGGCATAGCGAATTTGACATCAACAAGTATCCACTGTAACTGAAGAAAAGCCAATCCTTCTAGAAGATCTTTTAGCTACCATTGACTTGCGCTCACTACAAGCACTAGCGCAAAATCTAAACGAAGCCAGACTCGATAACGACCGTTCCTAAATTGTCAAATACGCTACCTCAGTCATCGTCCATATTAAGCAGACTCAGCTTACGAAGCTCTACAAATCCGTGCTTAATTCATGCTAACCAAGGTAATCTGCTCACCCCATCGCGGACAGACAAAGGGTCAGTGAACGCTTCTGGGGCTGCATTTCGGCTATTATCTGAAGGATTGACTTCTTCAGTATACGGATAACGCTTGCAAGCGATCAAGACTTGTGATGACGGGCTAAAGAGTGCTCATACGTATTCCGATCGTGGCTGGCTAGTAATAATGAAAGATGTATCTCGATGACTGAGCTGTAAACGTGTTGATCTAATTTCGAACCATCCACATGAGACTGTGAATAGCATTGTCTTGCCGCTACGATAAGCTGATCTCGCTGTGTGTTTGAATGTTTCCTCGACATGGCAGAAATTTACTGCGGAACGTGGGAGCGCTTGGTGCCATACAACACTTGACGATAATCTGGACAGACATTTCTATCAACTAATAACTCAAACGATGACATTGATCACTCGGCGTGGTTGAAAAGCATAACTGATGAAACTGTTAAGAAACACAGCCTGTTAGATTGAAAGGTATTTAAGCCCAACGTTGCTTCACTTGATAATGTAGACAGTAGTGCTTACATCATAGTATTTACTGTGAAGATAAGATCAAGGTTCTCTGGTATGAAGCATCGGCAACTTGGATACTTTGAACGTTTTCTGACAACATTTACATCGCTCCGTGGGAAGTAAGACGCATGATGAAACGAACCTCTCTAATTAAGCGACCCCAATTGTACCAATACATTTGTCGACATTCTTATATCATGCAGCAGCAATAATACTTAGCTAGTTGTATCATGCTCCGTGTAAATTCAAGGTCCGTATAACATTTACCTGACAAGTAATTTATTCAGCAATGATGTCATTATGTACTTGGGATATGGCATTATTCGAGCGCTGTGATTAACCAGGCATTGGAGCTTAATTCTATTGCTGCGGACAGTGCTGAGAACATATGACTGACCGTTATGTTGTTCTAGTTGAATGGCTAATTACTTGTTAATAGCTTTCTGGCGCCTATGCAGATTTGGCCTTGAGCTCCTCCGCATTAATTCTTGTCGATACCTACGGAGCTGTATCTCAAGTAGCTCGCTGTTTATAAATTTTACTTTTACATAATACCATACTCTCTGCCATTATCTGTAGTAGGTTTACTTTCTTATGCAAGACATTATTACGCCCGGGAGGTTATGCTAAATAACTGGCCTGAGCCCGAAAAGTGGATCTGTGAACATTGAATCGAAGGCAAAGGGGCGTATTCTGCAGCCGATCTAGAAATATTCTTCCTCTCCTTCAGTGTCAGGTATGCTTTTTCCTTAATTGTTCATATTACTATATCGAAGGGGAGAAGGTAGAGAAAGGGAAAAGGAGATGCCACCTTCAATTTTTATGCAAGGCAAACCATAAGTACCTTAGACCAAGTTCGAGAAACTGCAATGATAAAATAAATCTGTTATCGCCACTTGGTAACATTGTATGGCACTGTGGCTAATTTAGAACAGGTCGCGACAGCTGAAGAAGCGACGCACAATTATTACCTAGACTGCCAAAAGGAAGAGCTTATAATGTCATGATGAAACACAGAACAAACGACAGCTTAGTAAACGATACCATCATAGTGAGTTCTAGTATCTCCCAGCTTTCTTGTGTGTATATAAAGCTAGAGACGAAAGATCCATAGACGCAAGGAGCTGTCAACAACGGCATACTTAAAATCATGATAAACAAAGCAACAAACTGATATAAAAAAAAATCTTGGTAGCACGCGTTGACTCCTTTCATAAAGGAGAAAAGGGAAGAGGAGGGCGAGAATAATGGAAAAGAGGTGGTAGTACTCAGATTTGATGACATGTACATAGTAGATATCCATATAGGGAGAGCACCATGTACCGCCAATACTGTACATCTGAGAGGGAGTGAATAATACGATCGGATTGGAAATTGGAACGGTTCAAGTCAACAGTTGGAGTAGAAGTGTAAAAGAATATAAATGCAAATCTGTTTTATGGATGTCGTTAGAAAAGCCACTCTGTTGTACTTATGATATTGAGGTTAAGCCCAACATGGCTGGGATCGTAGCATATCGCATATGCGAATGTGTAGCATTGCTAAATGCGTTTGAAATAGCCAATTTTGTCTCCGCTCCTCCAATGAGGGCAAAGGAACTGGACGATGATGATGCTGATGATGATACGGACATTTTAAGCAACAACAACAACAAAAGGGAGCATTGGCCGCTCTATTCGTCTCCGACCTTGTTGCCGATCCTCCGTTTTCTCAGGGTGGGGTGACAATAAGACGAAAAACGAGGTTCAAGGCCCATCCCACTATCACCACCCCTGTTCTTTGATTTCCTCACAAACCAAAGTGGTAGAAGAAGAAGACAAACCGGATGCAACGAGAAAAAAAAAGAATACACGGCCAAAGTCGGATTAGAAAAAAAGTTATACAGAGATGTACGGACATAGCCACACTGTACTCACGCACAAGCACATAGCACAGGCACAAGCGCACAATAAATGATGGTGTGTGGAACCGACCATGATGGTTTTTGCTACCGTGGCAATAATTGCAATTCAAATTGCCATCGAAACTCAGCCTTTTCTGTTACAAAGCAGAGCACACTCTCTTCAGCAGAAGCTCCACGCTGCCCATTGCAATACCTTTTTTTTTGCTTCTTCTTTCTTGCCCCTCTCCTCTTCCTTCCTTTTACCTCTTTTTTTTTTTTCTCTTTTTTTTGCCCTTCTACCCCGTTTCAACCGAGGTCTTGACTTCTTTTTTCAACAAAAAACCAAGAAACCGTCGAAACATCAGTTTCAATTTCTCATTCTTTTGCAACACTTACAACAACAACAACAACAACACAAAAGTAAACGAAACAACAGGAATCGATTCGCCAGTAATGCCTACCACCATGCAAATGCAATCCATCTCGGGCATCATTACGCAGGTCCGTGTAACATCGGGTGAAGTGCCACCACCACTTGTTGGAGCGTCTGTTACGGTTGTTGGTGACAAGGTGTTTGTGTTTGCGGGCCGGCTGGTTTCCTCTCGTAAAATGACCAACCACATGCACGTTCTCGACATTAACACACTGGTATGGACACGACACATTCCACCGCCGGACTCGGACAAACCGCCCAAACCTCGCTATTTCCATTCAGCCAGCGTCTTTGAAAACTCAATTGTCATGTTTGGCGGTATGGGATATTCACGAGTGTCAGCTGACGGCCTTTGTGTGCTCGACGACATTTCTGTATTTGACATTGAAACAATGAGCTGGCGACGACCGGAAATCAAGCCTTCGCTGTTTGCACCACGACCTCGTTATGCACATCTGTCATCGATCACGGAAAACAAGCTGATCATCGTCGGTGGGCAGGATATGAACAACAACTATCTCGGCGAAATTAACATTTTGGATTTAAAAGCGTGGGAGTGGGTCCAGGTGAAGAATCTCGACAAACATGTTGGCGCATACAGATCGATTGCCATCACTACGCCACCAGGAACTCGGTTGCCCGTCATGCTCAAGGACAATATTGGCGGGGGCGGGGATGGGGCATTTGACATGATGGAGGCAGCGGCAGCAGCAGCAGCAGGAGGACCAGGAGGGCCAGGAGGAGACGCTGGCAAAGAAGGACTAGGCGGTGTCAGCAGCAACCACAGAGCATCGCTTGTGCGGCAATACGGCGAACTACTACAGAGTTCGCAGGAACCCAACCCCATTTACTTGTACACCAACTACAACTTTGCAGACGTCAAGCGCGAATTACAGCTCATATTCTCGCCCACATCAGCATCGTCTTCGATCGAAGACTGCTCGTCCTTCATGACCGGCTCTGTTATGCCGCCTGGATTGCGATTCCCGACGGGGCACACGCTGGGCCACCATCTCATTCTCGCAGGCACATACCTCTCGCCGCAAAGCCATGCATACACGATCTGGTCGCTCAACCTGGGCACGCTGACATGGTCCCGGATTGAAACTGGCACCGTCTTTGGGTCGGGGTCGTGGAACAAGGGTGTCTTGCACGAAGACACGAACCGACTGCTGGTGTTTGGGCACAGGTCGCGCAACCTGCTGGAGGATTATAACCATCGCCAGGTCAATTTTGATCATCTTGCAACCGTGGATCTCGAAGCATTCGGGGTGTACAAACTGCCAAAAACCACGTGCTCCTCGCTGGCCCAGGAGATGGGTCTCTCCTTGCTTAATGAGCCTGCCGTCTCCGATTTTCGCATCATCACTCGTGAGAACCAGTCCGTATCCGTCAACTCGGCCGTCTTGTGCCAACGTTGGCCTTATTTTGCCGATCTCATGAAAGCCAGCCGCGAGCCTGTACAAGACAAGGACTCTGTCGATCCCACCTCCACTAATAGTAATACTATCGGTATGATGATAAATGACGATGAAGACACTATACCAAAAGAAGACTCGCCTGCCAACAACAGCAACAACAACAACAACAACACCCGCACGGTCATCAAGAGCCACAGCATGGTCTTCCCTTATCCTTACGCTGTCGTCGTCGCCTTGCTCCAGTTCATCTATACCGACAATCTGTTGACCGCACAACAGTACCAACCACATGTCCTCTCACAACTCTTGCTGCTTGCAGATATGTATAATCTCACCCGGCTGCGCGAACTGACGGCTCATGCGCTCCATCAAATGCTCAACATGTCTACAGCACCACTTATCTTTGAAACGGCAGCCTTGTCGCACAAGACGAGTCTTCAAATTCGCGCATTAAAGATGATGATTGCCGCGAAAAAGATGATCCAACAGCAGCAATTACGTAGCAACGCCACAAGTAACAGTAACAACAGCAATATTAACATTAATCAATCCCAGCAAACACAACAAGAGCGATCAGCTTCAGCAGCGGGAGGAGGTGACATGCTTCAAACATCACCGACTTCGTCATTGTCATCCGCTTTTAATCCCTCATCACCCGCCTTGTCTCCTCAACGCCAGCATTTCATGTCGTCTCAACCTCAGCATCCACTCTATGACCCTCGAACACCATCCACTTTTGACAACAGCAGCAATGCAACGTCACCCACATTGTCTGCCTATCGCGCACGCACACCTTCATTGACCGGTCGACATACAGCAGCGCGGCCGTCCGCCTCTGGATTCAGCACAACCCGCTCATACAGTCCGCCTGGCACTCCACGACAGACGCCCATGGGCTTACCGCAACATACTATGGGTCCCTTGGACTCAGACAGTGGCAGTATTGCAGGCGTCGCATTGGATCAACCAAACACAAACTCAAATGGCACAAAAACCAAAGAAAAGACTAAAAAGAAGAAAAATTTTCTCGAAGCTTTCGGTAGCAAATTCTCAATGTCATCCCAATCATCTCAGTAAAAGTAAAAAAAAGTTATTTTATTCATATTCATTGCATATTACACTGTTTGTTCCTATAATTTGAGGATGGGGAGGGGCAAGTTGGTGTCAGTGGTGTTGTTCTGCATGAGGGCAGTGTGCTTCATATCACTATTGCGCCTCGTTTCGGTAGTACGAAATGCTATTTATGTAGGATCAACTAAGCCATGAGGCAGTTTATTTTGTCCGTGGGTTGTAATTGTTATGCAAAGTACATCGCATCTAGGAACAGTCGGAATAAAAGGAAGATCGATTATAGTATGGCGTGACATTGCTTGTTGATACCAAGCCATAACGTGAGGAAGAGGCCGTCTTACTAATAAACGGAACTAGGGACACGCTTTTTATCGGAAAACAGAATTTAGCAAGAATGCCTGATTAATTTGCTACCTTGTTATGGAGGTCACTAAGGTTTGTTGACGTCAAGTTACCAGTTGATATCTAACATGTAGCAAATCAAACAAAAGCAACAATAGCCAAACAAGGTGTTTTGATGAGCGCCAGGTTAGAAGATTATTTACTCATCCGAAACTCTTTGATCCTTGCATATCTGTTTACTAAATTCTTGTGCCCGTCGACCGGTCGGCAATTACCCACCGCTAAGTGCATGTTGCCGTAGGGGAAACGGGACTTTTATATAGTTGGATGTACGTGCATATCTGTATAACGATATAATGTACTGTAGCAGCGAGCTGCACTAATAATAGTTGGAATGCAAAAACTGGGGCGTTTAAACAAATGTATATGGTACCGTACTAGATGATCACACTCAAAGGCATTTGCTATGCAGAGATGCTTATAGTACGAGGACATCGTTCCCCTTAAATTATACTGTCATAGCTGTTGTTAACTATGGAGGGATAAGAGATGCACCATCTCATCTACCGTCTACTATGTGACAAAGTACATATAAGATACTGTCAATGTTGCGCATACATTAAGTACGAATAACTGATACCCACTTTCCCACTTTTTGCTTATTGCAATACAGCCACCGGGTTGATATTTGAACTACGCATTAAATGGTCATCGTACATCTTATAAACGATGATTTTTTCAAAGAAGCCGCTTAATTTGATATAATATCTAATGTAATGCAGCATATCACTTTTTTGTTGCCTACATATATGTTGGGTATATATTCGATCCAATGATATTCTTCAACGATTGCCCTACCAAATACCAATTTACTATAGTAAGATCAATTTTACTTTTGTTTTAAATCGTGGAGAAAACGTTGAATGCTGTAATATCTTGTGATGGAAAATGTGGATACACTTCTACTTTTCGGGATCCTGCGAACCAGTTACTGTTACACTAAGTGGAGCCGGCGGGCTTTGACTGCCCAGGTTTAAAATCATCACATGGATCACTTTCTGCTCTTCTTTTTTTCTCGCTCCTTTCCTTTTTTCAATTTAAAACTTGGTCTCTTTTATTTCTCTCGTGTAAATACATATCATTGCAATTATTGTCATGGAGACCGTTAGCAGCTCATCTCTTCGAAGTATCATTGATGATGCCCTCGGTCAAGGTACAACCAGAACAACAAAAAATGGGTTAATTAATCGGAAAACGAAAAAGAACACACTCTCACGCGGTTTTTATACGTAATTTTGTACAGGAAACGCCAAACCGATCAAGCAAGAAGACTTGGCCAAATTGTTTGAATCATTGAACAAGATCGATACCACAAATACCCAGGATAAGCAAGACATCAAGGATTTGGCGGCTATGCTCGAGGCAACCAAGCAGGAAGATGGTAGTGTGGATGAGGAGTTGGTTCGAAACATCTTGGGATCGTTCTTGTCAGACAGTCAGCATGTAAAAGAGTTGTCAGAGACCATTGGTGACTTTGAGATCCGGTTTTAAAAGGACAAATTTGTATTCTACATAACGTTTTTAAATTTTGTGTGGTTTTATTAAGAATACTATCGATGATTATGAAAATGCTGATTAGTGGCGATGTTTTGTTTATGTATGAAGAATGGAGAAGAAGGGAGGATGTGTTATACATGACAGCTACTAGCGTGTCAAATAGTAATGTAGTGCATTCTATGCCATATTAGCCACTACATACTACCACCGCACCCACTCAGCGTTGAACATGTCTGCAAAATTCTTGAGTTCGGTCGTACAATCACTTGATGCACGCTTAGCTAATGCACTCGGCATCTATTTCGGACCCCACCTTATTAGTAAAGTTTTCATAAAGAGAGAATTTGCTGATTTGGATAATTTACCTCTTTCTCAAGGTAAGCAACACGGTTCTTATGACTTGGATGGGTACTCATGAACTGGGGTATGTCGCCACCACCTGCCCTCTCCATGCGTTTCCACATATTCACAGCCTCGTGTGGATCATAACACGCCTGCGCCATCAGTTGTAATCCAATCTCATCTGCTTCCGTTTCACATTTGCGAGAGAACGGCCTCTCAAGTATAAAGCTCATGGCGAATTGGTTTAAGAGTGTAGGACTAATGCCAAAGGCCATCAATATCCATTGCAAGAGCAGGATGATTTTTGAAAAGCTTAGTTTCTCGGCACTGTGTCTTGCTAATTGATGTGCAATTTCGTGACCTAGTACTGCAGCCATACCATCTATTGCAACAGTAGATAAGATCAGTAAACCCTGTTATCATGATCCTCTTTTGTTTGATTTTACCTTCATTTTCCACAATTGGCAAAATGCCTGTAAACACAAACACTTTTCCTCCGGGAAGAACGAATGCACTATGCAAACAATAGCAAAATTAGACCCTTCTATCTTCTCTCTCTCTCCTCTGACTTATTCATATATTAACTCACTTTGGCTCATTTGAATTAATGACATGGAACTCCCATTGTAAATTATCCATGCCCGATACTTTAACGATCCTTTTGGCTACTCGTGCAACAAACTGTGTATATGGATGATAATCAGGCAGAATCCGTCGACCAAACTGGGACACAACTTCACTATACGCTTGCTTGGCCATTGCTAGCATCCAGATGCAAACACATATAACTTAGCTAAAGAACGCATAAATAGCTGCGCATATTACAATTATGATCTTACCCTCTTCAAGTCGCGGCGACACGTCCATAAACCGTTTACGTCCACTGACGGGCACCGTTTCCAGGTGCATGACATAGTAGCCACCAAACAATACTGTGCCAGTACCCGCGGTTACCCAAAATCGTCGCGAAAGGTAAAATGGCGGGCGACTGCTTTGGAACCGTTGGTAGTTATCGTTGCCGCCAAATTGTTGTCGATGGATTTCCGGTGGAGAAGCCGCGAAATTACGTCTAGGACGCGACGCATTAACAGTTGACGATCGGCACGAGGTCCGACAAAAGTTGCTTGCGTTTGGTGCTAATCGTGCGCGAAAAAATGGTATTGACATTTGTATATGTGTGCATGCGTATGGGGACTTTAAGAATAAGTAGGACCGGAAGAGAAACGTGCTGCGTTATTTCTGCTGCAGTTGCCATAATTCCGGCTAATTTCATCTGCCGAATCCGATCATTGACGGCAATGACAGCATCATTGATATATCTGCTGAGCAGAGATCGAAAACACTTAATCCACAGTAGTTTGTGAGACTCTGCTATAACTGTTGACAGGGGTGCTTTTAATACATATCATTACAAGTTGTATAGAATTTATAACCCCGTCTGTTATAGATAGATTAAGGAATTATGTTGTATCAACACTGCAGTTGTTGCATTTTTTGAGGTTGCTGTTGGGCAATTTCCTCGAGGTGCTACTGCTGCTTTTGTTGAGTTTCCTTCTGCTTTTGCAGATTCTATCGCATTTGAACTCGTTGCTTTAATTGCTGCGGCTGCGCACTCCAGTGTAAAGCATGGACAACGTTCACTTTCTCCTCAGTTGGGTGGTCATATGCATCGATATACTCGACCTGAATTGTTTGCATTGGGGATGGGTCAACGCTAACTTGCTTGACGGGGTTGTAAAATATCAAAGGAGTCAGACAGTGAAATGCTTTTCATCTTCTATGATACGTTCATCAATAAAGGTCCAAACACTGTAGGGACAAAGAATATATAATCTCAGAGTAAATTCATGCTCCTCGCTTACATATCTACTTTAATGCCGCCCTTCAGTTTTGGTAACAACGTATCTGTCTCATGGTGGAAGTGAAATCAACAATCCGTTGGTGCCTCCCACCTTGACCTAACATCTTTTGATAAACAAAAGAACTTACGCGCAGAGATTACAAAATGAGCAATAATAGCATCTTATAGTATCCCTAGCCTATAATTGTAAATGCTTTCCTATCTTTTTCACTCCATTTCTATACGCCATCACTATACCAATGTACTGAACAAAGATTCTACAACGAGATGTACCATTTCTTAGCGTAAAGAACTGTTTCTGTTTCATTTGCTCCTATTAAGTATATCACATATTTGGTTCTGAAAGACTGTTTTGTATCCCTTTCCTCGTTCTTAACTTTTCTACTGTTGGGAATGAAGCAATATGTATTTGGACTCTCTTATGAGCAACTCAATGCATCGACCTCCATTCCGAGCAAACATATGGAATAGCAACGAGTATAGTGATGAGAATCTGTTTCGCAGTTAATTGAAACACTTATCACAATAATTCACGCGCTTAACCTATCCTTTGATGTATACAGAATGAATGTCGACCTACACCAGCTCACAGGTGTGCTTCGATCTCATGCACATGCTGTTAAGTTATCGTATGCCTTGGTAGCAGTAGCATAAGTATGTTCATTTTCTAGATACATTGACGTAGAATATGTACAATAGAATTGGCTTGGGATAGAGGCTCAATGGCAACAACGAAAAGTTACCTGAGTGTGCTTCCATCCCCACGCGCACGCTGGAAATAGAATTTCACGTTACGGCTTTTGAACGCCGAACACACCCGTCCAGCTTTTTTTACCTGTTTCCCTAATAACATTGAAATGGCTGCCGAAAACAAGAAAGCGTTGGTATACTCAATCCTCGAGTTTCTTCAAAAATCGTGCGACGATGGTACCATCAGCAAAGATGACACCGAAGGCATTGAAGGTGGGTATCACATTGAATCTTCTCTTTTTCTTCCTTTTCGCATTTATCGATTGGTTCAGAAGAAACGAAATATGATCTTAAGCGTGGATCGCCTTATAATGAAACCCATACGATAATAATTGTTAGTTGCCATGCAGTGCATCGGTGAAGCTTTCGGTGTAGATCCCACCGATGCTGCCCAGCAAGAAGCTTATAGCACCAAGCCTGCTAACTTGTTGTCTATCTTCGAAGTGTACCTGAAGACCAAATCCAAGACTCGCGGTCAGGTAAATGAATTCACATCAACTCCTTTGGCTCTTGGATTCCTTTCTTTGTCTCGCGCGTATAAACTTAAAGTCTCTTTCATTTTTTTAAATTAGGCCCCTGCTTCGGCGTCGTCGTCGTCTGGTGCTGCTCCCGCTGCCGCTAAGGGTGAGTCACTCATTTTGTATATTAAGCTTAATAGAAACTCTGGTATAACTTATGTTTGCTAACACATAAACATTTGTATTAGCTGTAAGAATATGAAATACATTGTATATCACAACCGATTAGCGCTAGGATGGAGAGTAGGAAATAAGAGAGCTGATGTATACGTGTGATTTTTAGGAAATCTCAGAAGAGGATAAGCAGAAGGCCGAGGAACTCAAGGCCGCAGGTAACCGTAAGGTCTCTGAACGCAACTATCCAGAAGCTATCAAGCTTTATACCGAAGCAATTGCTATCAATGGTAGCCAAGCAGTTTACTACGCAAACCGGTAAGTGTACTATATAATATCACGTGTAAATGATTGCTTTGATCGAGGACAAGGGATCTTTTTGTTGATATTGGACCATGTAAATATGTGGGATATAGCGCTGCTGCATACAGCCAGCAAAGTGACTATGATAAGGCCGTAAGCGACGCTACGAAGGCTATTGAAATTGATTCAAAGTATAGCAAGGGTTACAGTCGATTAGGGTAAAGTATAGCTTTTTGTTGAGGGTGGAGTAAAGGGGTGCAGTATACGATGATGAAACGGATGTGGGAACATATTAAATAAACGTTGTTACTTTAGTCATGCTTTGTTCTGCCAGCAGAAATATCAGGAAGCTGTAGAAGCGTATGAAAATGGTCTCAAGTTGGACCCTGAAAACGCCACTATCAAGTCCTCATTGGCTACTGCCAAGTCCAAGATTGGAAGCGTTGATCGCTCCGGCCCCGGAAGCCCGCCACCATCTGCTGGCGGTGCTGGTGCTGGCGGCATGCCCGACCTTGGTTCCTTGTTAAACAACCCCCAACTTATGAACATGGCTCAGCAAATGATGCAATCCGGTGCTTTGGATCAATTCATGAACAACCCTAACCTCGCAAGAATGTATGTGAATATGAACTCTTAAAAAGGGGAGGAGTGCTTTGGATGCTTTTCTCGCAAGAGTTACGCTGTAGATATTGTTGAGTTGTTTTATTTTTTGAAATCCCTTCCTCATCGAGTTATTTCTTTTACATTAGGGCACAAAACATGATGGGCGGTGGTGGCGGAGCAGGAGGTGCTGGTCTTGCAGAAATGATGCAGAACCCTGAGATGATGGATATGTAAGTGTGGTTTTATGTCTCTTCTGTAACCTTACTCTTCTATTGCAATTGTTTTGTTAACAATATTGTCTTTTTTTTTACTAGGGCTCGTCAATTCATGGGAGGAGCAAACAACAACAGCGATGGCAACAACAATGGTGGCAGCGGAAACTCTAACTAGAATGTGTACTAGTATCATAACGCCTGGCTTTTTGCTCTTATCTCTTCTGTTGAAATAACATACGACGAACAACACGTCTTTCAAAGAAACGAACACTGTATTCTTCAGGTCCTCCTCCTACCCTTTATATAATAACTCTTTATGAGGGAATAAAAAAATACACACCAAACACCTACAGTATACATGAAGTATTCATACTACAAACAACACAACATTTCGAGCTTCTTATAATCAATATACATTCGGGTTTTATGATATTATACCAAGCTTCTCAATACGGTATAAATCAAAAGATTCATATACTGCCACTGAGGTATTCGATGTTCTTATAGAAGAGCTCTTATCTTTGGTAACCCCTTCTCGGCTAAGAGTCCATTCGCTCAAAAAAATTACATATGATAACACAATAGAAACGTTGCTTTTGGGTTATATGAACGAGCGTCAACATGGATTTCTGTATGTATGCTATGCGCAGAAGCAGTTGTTGAAATATGGTACGTATATGTTGTACTACATCGTATAAAACGTGGACAAATAGTGGGTCGTCACTATGTAGATCCCACTTTTGTAGATATTTATATGGTGGACTGACAGCGAAAGAGCGTCGATTCTAAGACCGGACATTTGTGCAAGGTATACGACCGCAAAGTAAAGGAGAAGAAAGCATCTCTTGTTTTTTGATATAAGTTTGCTGAACAAACGAAAGAAAGCACTCTCTTTTTTTTCCTTGTTTGCTCCGTTTAGCGCAGCAAACAGAGTTACTAATGGAACACGATCTTCTGCGCTAGAAGCATCCACTGTAGGAAAATTCTTGTGAATTTTAAATTCTTGTAAACACTAAGTAAAGTAACGTTTAAAATTTGATTGTTTTATTTAACGACTCTTTGAACGCTGTGCTTGGTGTGGCAATTTCGCTCGAGTCAGATCAGGGGAGAAAGGGGATGATGAAAAACCCTGTGTGCGTAAACAGGGAAAAAGGTTGTGGGGATGGTAGATGATGCTATGGATTGCTGAAGATAGAGTGGAAGAATAAGCAGAAGGAGAGAAAGAAAAGAGAACGGTGTTAGTGGCACTTAGCCAGATTCCTGCGGCAAGGGAGGAGCTATCCATTTCAGTAGTGTGCTGCCAGGCTGCTCGTCGTAGTACTGGTGTAGGTCGGAGTCGGGGTGTTGGTGAGCGTCGAGTTCGGCTAGGATTTTGCATACAACTGGCCATTGTGAACGAAGTAGGTTAATGCGGCGTGGTGACTTTGGCGGGGAGTGGGGTAACTGATTCAAGACAAACGACAGTGGGTCCGGGCTTTGTGACTCTGTGATATATAAACGGCGGTGCATGCGAAGGCATCGGATAGCGTGGTTTTTGTTGAAATCTGGGGCTTGGCAGGTGTGGCAAGGTTTCCGCTTGCCGCCCGGGAGCCAGCCTAGGCGCCAGCGAATGCATCGACTTCGTTCCCTTCTGGTCATAGGTAGCCACATGATGGGATCGATACAAAGCTTTGGGAGGCAGGCGGTCAGGTTGCGAGCCCCTGTTGGTGCAGCGCGCATGGTGGCGAGTTCCTCGGACAGATATTGCCTGACTGTGGCTTTGAGTATGCGGGTGGTGGTTTCTTCGCGAGGAGCAGGAAGATTCAACCATATTGGTGTGGTGCTGAGTTTGGACCAATGGCTGGCTGCCTGGGAGGCGATGGTAGGGCGTAGTTGAGTAAGTAGTGCGTCTTCCGGTAGATTCTGGGCTCGGTGTAGGAATTTCGTCTGTAAAATGCTCGTGCGTGCCTGCATGCTTGGTAGTTTTGCAAGGTGGCGCATGACTTTTGTTTCTGAGTGTGTGTGTGCGCCGTAGATCGTTCGGATGCAGGTGCTTTGGATGCGGTCTAGTTGCTTGAGCTGTGTCTGTGTAAGTGATGTGATTGCTAGCCCATATTCCAATTTGGGTCTGATAAATTGGGCATAGATGCGACTGGCGAGGAGACGGGAGAATCCAGATGGGTTGACACCCATGGCGTTGAGAGTGCGCATGCCGGCTTCCGCCGAAGTTTGGTTCCGAGTAATCATTTGCTTTGCATCCAAACGGCCTTTGTTGTTGACCGGGACCCCAAGGTACACGAAGTAGTCAGCACGTGGTATAGGTGTGTCATATAGGTTGAATGTGTCGGTCGTGCGTGGAGAGTTGACAATGACGCACTTGGCCGACTAAGTAAAGTAACAAGAATTCTTGTGGATTCTTGTGAATTTAAAGTAGCGATAAAGCGGTCACGCGTTCACAAGAAAATCAAAGCGGTCACACGTTCACAAGAAAACCACAAAACGTTTTGTGGAATACCAAAGCGGTCACACGTTCACAAGAAAATCACAAAACATTTTTGTGGAATATTCATTATATAGATTTTAAAAAATAGCTTTATTCAATTACATGATACTAGCTAAGGTTTATTGATTGATGGAATACTGGTCGAGCGTATACAGATGAAAACCACCCCTTTCTCTCTCTATATATATCACATACACTCTCGCTATATATATACGTGTATGTGTGTGTGTTTATACAATGGGTATTACTAGGGACACTCCAAAAAAATGACTCGACACTCCATTTTTCCTCAAATAAACCAAATAGTTACACAAAAATAAACAGATGCTCTATAAATATACTAACAAAGGACTATTAAAGGAAGAGGAGTATTTGGAGTGTTGCAATCGCCACGATGGCGTTGTAGGCGTTTGGAGTGTCTGGAATGTTTAAAGTGTTGCAATCGCTATGATGGCATTGCAGGCGTTTGGGGTGTTTGGAGTGTTGCAATTGCCATGATGGCGTCGTAGGCGTTGAGCTTATGAAATTTTTTACTACTACGATGACTGATAAAGCTACGAGATGTCTATTATATAAGTTGACAAGTTATAAAAGAAAAAGGATAAATCCCCTTTTCTTCCTCTCTCCCTTTTCTATCAAAATGAACGCTACAAGAACAGATACCATGGTCGATCTTATTGGCACCAAATATGATTCGAAAAATCAGCTCCGAGCAAAGGTTCAAGAGATGGCCCTAAAGAATCAGTTTGCAACATCCACCAAGCGCAGCAACAGTCGAAATATCTACATCCACTGTATCCATGGGGGTGTCTACAGGAACTGTCATGACATCGACGATGATGAACGTGAAAGACTGGTATCGACACAGAAGACCGGTTGTGCTTGAGAGCTCTTTGGCTCATACATACAGAAAATCAAAAAATGGGTAATTAAACGTGTCAGCAGCGCCGACAGCCACAATCATTTATTTGACAGTAACGCAGCAGCATCTTACCATCAACATCGAAACCCAACAGCTAATATTGCCAGTCGCATCTTGTCAATGACAGAGACTTCTATCAAACCAGCCAAGATTTGTCAAGAGTTACAAAACAACGACGAAGGCACAATCGTGACGATCAAGGATATTTACAATTTCCGCCAAAAAATATTCAAAGACGACAAATCTGGTGCATTCAGCAAACTATTCAGCTTCTTAGTCAGCAATCAATATATCGTAAGATATCGCATAGATAGGAAAACGGAAACATTGGAAGCATTGTTCGTTACGCATCAAGTTGGCTTGGAAAAAGCAAGGCGATTTAAAGAAGTCATTCAGTCTCGATGCGACGTATGGAACGAACAACAGCAAGATGCCGCTAATCAACGTTGTTGGGATCAGTAACCTTGGTACGACGTCGCTACACAATATGTTAATTGCATCAGCAGTCGTCGTCAATTGAAAAACCGACTCCTATCTGTGGTTATGAGGACCTTGCGTGATACTATTTGGCCTGAAGGTGATGTCGGTATCTTCATTACTGATAACGAGAAGGCGCTCATCACTGCCATCGATACTATCTTTTCGAAATCGATTCATCTTTTATGCATGTTAGCACATGGCGCAGCATTTGATCTCTCAGTTCGGTGGCTGCTTTCCGAAGAAAAGCGAGAAGTACAAGCAAGTCAAGAGCGTTGTGAATTGCTTGATTTACAAGTACAAAGACGAAGAGAAATTCGAAGAAGCGATCAAGGAATATCGCCAACTAGCGGAGGATGCAGCAGCAGCAATGATCGAACAGGCAGAAAAACAAGACATCAAAAAGGCTGAAGCAAAAGATAAGAAACTGAAAGAAAAAGAAGAAAAAGATGAAGAACAAGAAAAGAAGCCGACAAAAAAAGAGGAACTGCGAAACAAAAAAAGGGAAGACAAGGAAATGTAAAAAAGAAACAAAATCGCAGTTGCCCGTAAGACAAATATCATCAAGTATCTCGAAAGGTATGTGTGTATCTCTTACTTTGTAACGGTTTGCTTGAAATTATGTAGATTAAAGTATGTGATAAGGGTGATTTAGTTAACTCACTGTAACCTCGCGTTATCTTACGTCTAGTGTGCTCACCTACAAGAATAAATGGGCTGCACCGCAGGCTGGAAAGCAGCTCAACCTTAATGTGCGAACCACATCACGAACAGAAGGGACTCATTGGAGCATCAAAGATACTATGCAAACGACGGGCAGCCTCTATCGCACGTTTAAAGCTATTAACGAAGTCATGAAGAAGACAGTAAGCATTCTATATTCTCACTCATCTCCGGTGTTTGCTATTCAATTTATATGTAGCGATATGTAAATAAGCTAACTTTAATGCTTAAAAAGTTTGAAACAGAAAAGATGGACTTCATACACGAGCTTCGCAATACTCCACATTTCACAAAGCGTGAGAGTGCAGCTTTAAGAAACCTTTTCGGCCATGTCAGTTTCTTTGCTTTGATCCGAATTTGAAAGGAGCTTGACCGTGCGTGGAAAAACGTAGGCAATCAAATCAATTGCGACACGTTGGATTGTATTTGCACGAGTAGAATCAATTTTGGTTTACCATGCCAGCATATGATCAACCTAAACGGTCCTGCTGTTGATTTGAATGAGATTCCTAAACGTTGGCTTCTACAGTATGATTCAGGTATGTACTATTATACAGCTTCATCTACTAACAATAGCATGTTGATCGATACTCTCTCATATGAATGTGCTTCCTGTGTATTATATAGCTCTATTTAAAATTAAAGACCCAGCGGTATTAGTTGACCACCAGATGGAGAAACTCGTTACAAACTTAATGAACAAAATCATTTCCCTGGAAACCGAACAAGAGAAAGTCAATCTCTTATCCCGCTTTGAGGAGATCCTTGAGGAAGACGTTGAGACTGTTGATCTCGCTGAAGTCACGTTTCCTGAGCCAGTTGCTACGAAAGGAAGGCCCAAGAATACGAAGGACAAAAGGATCCCATCTTCTTTTGAGACCGAAAAGAAAGAAGAGCTGCTTAATGCTGCTGGTAACGATAAGCCTAAAAAGGCCCTTCAAACCAGCGAAGTACAACACGACGACTATGTCCTTTCAACATCGAAAAGGGAAACTGTGTATTTGGAACGTGCTCGTAAAAGGTCAGTCTTTTTGTATTCAGAACAATTCTTCATCATATGTACTATTCCCATTTTATATTAATAAATGTATATATGATTGTACATATAGGATTCGTACCGAACCTAAACCAGAGTCTTTCTCCTTTTTAGTTCACCCAGATATCCCGAGGGATTGCATTCATGGGACAGTTAATATTGCTTCTGACGGCTGGTGTGGCTTCCGCACCATCGCGCATTGCGTCAAAGGAGACCAAGAACAATTCATGACGGTCAAAAGGGAAATGCTAGAGTGCCTGCACAAAAACAAGGACATATATTCGAAGTATTTCATCAGCATGTATGACCTTGCTCGCCTCGAGGAGACGATCGCTTTTGGCCTTGACTACACCCGCAACACTGAAGGCAAATATCCAAGGTGCCCCAGCAAGCATTGGTTCTACACTCCTAGTTGTGCTCAACTTGCTGCTGATACATACAGACGACCTATTGCTGTGTATCCGGACAGAGATGACCGAAACGAAAATGGAATGTACTGTACTGCGCCATTGTTGTTTGTACCATTTGAAGGACCAGGAACGAATGCTCGACCGTCACCTCTTATCATGCAGTTCGTTTCAGGATGTCATTGGGCGACATTATAATAATGAAAACTGCAAAGAAACTACAATGGCCTTTTATCGAACGATCGGTTGTAACAGCTTGTGAAAAGATGGGTCACACGCATGATTTGCGCAAAAAAGTTTGGAGATATTTGGACATCAAAAAGGTCAACATTGAGGAAAATGTTTAGAAAGAAACAATTTTTATTAATAGTTTTTTCTTATGCATCTGTGTGATGCTATCACATATCATTATCAATTTTCTCCTGTTCCTTTTATATTAATATTCACATTTAATATACATATTTATGATAAAATCAATAAATATCAGCTCAAGCTTTATTTCGCTCTTAGCACTCCATTTTGCACTCCATTTTGCACTCTATTGTCTACATCCTGCACTCCAACATCTGAAGGTCCATCAAGCGATATATTTATAGAGCAACTGTTTATTTTTGTGCAACTATCTGGTTTATTTGAGGAAAAATGGAGTGTCGAGTCACTTTTTTGGAGTGTCCCTAGTAATACCCTTATACAATAATCAACTTTCTGATACTTTAACTTACCTTTTAATTATGTATATTTTTGTGGGGGGGAGCAGCTCCGAGCCGCTTTGTCGTACGGCGTCGTTTGGTAGACTGCGTGGACTGGGCAGGAGCAGGGGCAGGAAGAAAAGCAGAAGCGGAAACAGGAAGAAAAGCAGAAGCAGGAAGAGAAGCAGAGACAGGAAGAGCAGAAGCCGGTTCTTGTTGTCTACCTGATAGTTAATATATATTTGATTGTAGTTGCTCTAGTGTAGTAGTTATCATACCTAGAAACCGCTCTCGACTTGCTGGATCTGCCGTAGTTATGCCAGCATTCCTGGAGGATATGGCGAGCTGCCCACTGGCCCTGGCAGACAGCAAAATCAATGCCCTGCTTTTTTGCCAGGTTCATGAAAAGGCTAATAGCCCAGTTGCCTATCTTTGCTTTGTAGCTTAGCAAAGTAGTGGGTCACGCTGTTGTCAGCACGATTCTGCAATCTTTTCACAAGATCGACCACAACACGTTCGCTAATGTGCTTGATGTCGGTCTGGACTTTGATCAAGGCACCTCCTTCAAAATGGTGGTAGCCTTGAAGGAGAAGGCGCTCAACATCATCCTTGCTCGCTTTCTTTACCATCTTCCCCTTGGCATTTAGAGTCATTGGGTGGGGAATGAGGGAAACCGTCTCAGCAAGTTCTGCTTCATCGACAACTGGTACCTCGACTAGGGACTACGCCGTTAGCAGTTGGTCGAGCTTCTCCAGAATGACTGCTTGATTTGTCTCTACATTAATAAGACGATGCTCCATACGGGTGAAGACTTAGGAGATTAAGGTTAGCGTTGGGAGGTGTTTGGTTAGTGTTTGGGAAGAAAAGAAAGAAAAAAAACTTTTGCGGTAATATAAAAGTATTTGTCACCCTGGTTAACCAGGTGGTTATAACAAGAGAGTACTGTTTAATCACAAGAATCCACAAGAATCCACAAGAACCACCAAAAAAAAAATTGGCGACCAGAGCAGGCAGTGACAGACGTCACAAATTTACAAGAAATCCACAAGAATCCACAAGAATGAGGCCGGCGGGGTCCAAATTCACAAGAAATCCACAAGAATCCACAAAAACCAGGCGACCCAGAGCAGGCAGTGACAGACGTCACAAATTTACAAGAAATCCACAAGAAATCCACAAGAACCACAAGAATGAGGCCAGCGGGGGTCCAAATTCACAAGAAATTCACAAGAACCACAAGAATTTTCCTACAGTGATCATCCGAATCCTCTGTTACATGTGAGACAGTACAGCAGGTGTTGTTTTCGCACTATATATCACCGTTTAGTGATAATTTAATCGGGCCTTCTATGTTCGTGAGTTACTATTGGGTAAAGATGCCGCTCTAAATAATTGTTTTGAAGAGCTTTTGTTAGTGAGTCTCTATTTTTCGATTGTAAGTTGTCACAGAATACTGACTTGATGGAGGTATCGGACACATTGAGTACTCCGTTGTCAATAGTACGAAAGTCTCTACAAACGATGTCGTGTTTCTTTGCGTGTGCTTCTTAGCCGAGAACAGTGACTGAGTGATGTTGCGAACATGAGGAGAAAAGCGTATGGTATCATGAGGATGATGTGGTATTAGTGTTAGCCCCCCTCACCTTTTCTCCCCCAACGCCTTCACTCTCTTTCTCCTCGGGGTGCTCCTCATCCATCGTAGCGCGGTTCCCAAACCGCTTAATCTTATTTTATTATATATCGGCAATAAGAAGTGGGATGGGCAAGTGAATCAGCTTCCTCAATCTGCACGAAACCACTTCTAGAGTTCACCGCCCACCCAACCGGTTAAAGACAACATCAGCCACGGGCTGCACTATATCATTTATTCTTTTGCTTCTTTAGCCTCGGCACAAACTTATTACGCAAGTAAAAGAAAAGGTAGCACATTGCTATATACAGGTTTTTTCCTTAAAGATGGCGGATGATTTTTTTCATAATGGCGCTGAGTATTTTTTAGCATGTCGTTGGTGGGAATATCATGATGGCGGCAGGTGCGTTTTTTATTTGGCGCGACGTTTTTTTCAATTTGGCGCTGGAAAATTTTTGATTTGGCATTGGTATATTATTAACATGGCGCTTGATGAATTATAAAATGGCGGTTAGCTTTTTCAGCATGATGTGAAGATGCTATTATCATGAAGTTTGGAAAGAACGATATGCATGGGAGGTTTCTCGTTATGGATAATGCTATATAAATTTGAGAAATGGTGAATAAGAGAAAGAAATACAACACTTGGAAACCACGTTTAACAGCAGCTTTTTTAACTAAATTATCGTGATAAATATTCGCATTATTCATATCTGGTACCATATCCATATCTATAGCCGTATTTAACATTTTGCGGGGACCTACCTAATGAGGACCAATTTAATTCCACTCAAAATATGCCGACATACGCATCACAGAAACACACTTCTTCTAATTTCCTCCTTCCTTTCCGTATACGTGTTTATCCATTCATCTCATTAATTTCTTTAATCCGCTTCCATACCATCTACATAAAAGCCGATAAAGCAAGAAAAGAAAGTCATTAGTAGTGAAAATAAGATGCTCGTCGACGCACACTAATGTCTCTTTCAGACATTGTTACTATGGGGGAAAAAAGCACAACACGTTTCCCTGAGAAGAAACAATATTTTAAAACCCATATATATCACTGTTGTCTCCATAGCAATGATGTGTTACCAGAAAAGAAATATGTCCCATATTCATATTATACTCAAACCGTTAAGTTGTTATTATACCTACAAAAAGAGATCTTTTGCAAATTAGCCTATATTATGCACTTCAAAAAAATGAAGAGACAGGGATTGAGTTTTGAATGGCCAATATGCATTGCCTGCAAGTAAAAAAAATATTACGTATTGTTTTTATCATTACAATAGTCCAAATGACCCCTTATATCGGCCATCCACATATACGCTTTTTGATTGGTACATGCATAAACTATTATCTATATTTAGTAGCCCTAAGTACTTTCTACAACGTGGCACTTTTTACTATTGGAATGGATTGATACATAGGAATCATACATATTAAAATAACTTGAATTTATCCTTATTCTTTTTTCCTTTGTTAAATTCAATATATACTCTCTATCCATATTTTATAATAAAATATGCTTCTAATTATTATAGTAATGGAAATGAGAAAAAGACAGTGGAAGTAAGTGTGTTCTGATGGTTATATATACAAAGTAGACTTTTTTTTCTCTTTTAATGTTGTGTAAAAAATATAGAAATAATAGTGGGGACATGTCCAAAATACACTAAAAGGAACTTCAATGGAAGATTTGAACAAGAGTTGATATAAAGTGGGAAATCAGGCAGAATCGTCGGCATCGTCGGCATCGTCGGATCGGTTATCAGAAGTATCTAACGTCGTTTTGAGATACACAGAGGTCGATTGGTATATTTTCAGTTTCAAATGTATGCTTGATTGTCTCCTCTTCTTCAATCATGGGGTCCGAATGTTCAGAGCGTAAATCACCATCTACTTCTTCTTGCCCTTCAAGCAATTCCTATAAGACGATCCATCATTAGCCCTTTGCTATACCGATCATACTTATTTATAATCCAATACCAACCTGTAAACGTGTGATAAGTTCCAGGATCTCATACCAATAATATCGTTCTTGATATCCAACAGGGACAGTAGCGCGTCGTTGTTCTTCAAAAACAAATTTTTTATCGTTGGTGATGCTCATTATAGACAAGGTCAGAGTTCGTTTGATTGAATGAATACATATCGATTTGTAACGGGTAAGAGTTGAGAAGCGTGCATTTGATAACTTGTAAGCCTTGAGCAAGATGATCGAGGTTAATGCTTCCATATTCTTGAGAGTATCGCCATATGTATGTTGTACATCTTCCCGTCTTGGTCCCGATGATGCTTCGAAAATTACTCGTTCATCATCCATAATACCAATATTTGTAGAATAACCAATGCCATCTGCATTACTTGATGATGTTGTTGACTGCATGGCTTGGCGACTTTTCATCGAAACTTCACACCTAAACTAAATATTGGTCACAAAAAAAGAAGGGAGTGTTAATCCGTGATTTATGGTTCTCATTTATCTAATTAGATAACTTACCATTCAAAATGAATGTCTTGGTATTGATTTTCAAAGTGGCTAAAGATAGGAATGATATAATCGGAAAAAAAAGTTCGTTCATGGTTGGTAAAAGATAAGGTACTGTGGAAGCACTTGGATGAGTAATCCCAAAGAACATGCTTGACAAATCGATAAAAGCTGTTTTCTTTGTTACTAATAATGTTTGTGTCTAAAGTAGGAAAGTTAAAGGATTCAAAGTCGTGATGATTGCGGCATGATAAAGCTGAACGAATAACCTTCAGACATTCGTGATACTTGGTGAGTGATTTCAATTTCCGCTGGTCTTCGTGATGTCCATTAAGGATCTCCTTGCTTGTTGTGTCCAAAGTTCCAATTAAGCTTTGAAGCTGCAAAGTATACATTTTTGATATTTTTTCAGTATCACTTTTCGTAATTTTTGGTGTATCTTGGGAACCGATTTTATCTGCCAAAGCTTGATCAAATGTGTGAGCTCGTTTTCCTCTGAATATCTTGATCTATAAACAAAAATTAATAAAATAAAAAAAGGACAAATAAGCATACAGGCGTGTTATTGTCAGATTGCACAAGATCATACATTTTTATTGGTGTCAATGTCAGTATCCGAAGGTCGTTTCTGAGGGGTTGGTGTTAAATGGATATTGAAATGTTCGCTAAGATCATCAACAGTATCACCAAAGTAGTCGCATACAGAACATTCATAAACAAGAGAATACTCAATACCAGGCTAAGCAAAAAAGTGCGAATTAGTTAGCGGGAAAAAAAAAATTTTTGGAGAGAATAAATAACAAGGGTTTTCAGGTATGAGAATAAATCCATACCTGTTTTTCCAACAAATTTTGAGTTACGATTTTGATTCTATAATTAAAGAAGAATAAGATGTCAGAGGAAAAAGAGATCAGTGAAATCATAAGAGTTAGGTGTGCTGCTTAACTGGCTATTTCGTGGTTGTTTTTTTCGTGCTGCTTGTTCTGGTAAAGAAAGGTCTACCAAAAAACAGAAAAAAAAAGCACTTTAATAAGACATTTCTTGAATTGTTAATATTTTTTCACTTACTATGTACAGATCGATGATGAGCATATAGATTTCGTCTATTTGACTTATCTGCTGCATTGGAATCTGTTTCATAACAGTAATGGCATCTGCTTATTGGCTTAACATATTGTCTTTCCATAACGAAATTATTGTTGTGTTCGCAAAAATTATTGTTGTGTTCAAAAAAAATTATTGTTGCGTTCACAAAAATTATTGTTGCGTTCAAAAAAAATTATTGTTGCATTTGCAAAAATTATTATTGCGTTCACAAAAAATATTTGTTGCGTTCAAAAAAAATTTGTTGTTGCTTAGATATATTTATTTTTTTGGATGACAATTGATCTAGCTTCATTAATGCTACCCCTTCTCTATATTCCATCTAGTGGATTATGATGGTTTTACATATGATCATATGGTGATGCTACCACTGAACATTCTTTTTCTTCTTAGAGTGTGGATTATTATAATTACGAATTGGACCATTTGATTGAAATGAGCTCAACGATCGTTGTTATGGATATATTTATATAAGTACCTGATGGGGATTGGCCATGGTTATGATGATTTTAATGCGGTCTAGTAACCCTAGATGACTAATTAGCTAAGATATGTCAGGATAGCCAAACTAATTTTTATTGAAATAATTCATGCACGAATGTCTTGGCATGCATACATTTAAATTTTTGAAAAAAAATAAAAAAATGATTACATAATTATTTTTAATTAATGTTATATAAAAATAAATAACCTAGCAGCAAATAAAAAATCTTTTAGATCCCAAATGTGATCAATCTATGTGTTTTTTAAAAATAAATAAATATTTATTATTTCATATTATAAATGTAATATTATACCATAGTATAATTTTTATACATTAGTATTTTCCAAATACAATAGTAAATGTATATACTTTATGCCTTAAAAATAAACGGAGAAACAAGCAAATAGTAGAAGAAATACAGCCAAAAGAATATTTTAAAAAGCATAAGGATATAAAAAAGGCTATAATAGATGATATAGATATAACAAAAGAAACTGTCGTCAAAAATAAATCAACAGATACTAATATAAGTACAAGTATAACTAATGAATGCATAAAACATAAATATAATTGGGCAAGTAAACAAAAGGTTGATGCGGTCAGTTTCAATATGAAATTTTTTAATAAGCAAATAAGTAAGAAATTAATTTAGAGTTGAATACCATGTGTGGCCATATATTCATGTAGCATTTCCCGGGAATTAAACTTATCAACTGTTAACCAACTATTATCCTTTACACTATATCCAACCCACTTAACCTCAAATATGTACTTATTATCAGTATACACATGTCCTACAATCTTCTCAATTTCATATGAATTACTATGTTCTATATTTCTCTGTTCTCTTTGATTTTTTCTCTTGCGTTTAGATGTATTATTTTCAGTTTCGTCCTCACTATCTATAGCCATATCTATTGATTGATTAATGTTAAGCTGTAGATATTTCTGCTGCATGTCAACCATTTCGTTATATTCAGTATTTACTTTTTGCTCATTTGAAAATACTAAGTCAAGTTTGTTTTTCTTACTTGGGAATTCAAAATCTTTTCCATACTATAATTTATGATGTGGTTTTACCTCTATATTATACTTATTTACAAATCGCCATATATTAGTAAGAATACAAGCAACATGAAACTGAATATTATAATATCTTATATCGGTTATTTGCAATGCTGCACGATTATTATTAAATCTTTCAAATTTAGAGCCTAACATAGAGAACTGTACTTCTATTGTTGAACGAAATAATCCAAACTTGTTATTAAAGTATGTCTCATTGATTGTTAACTTTTGTCCTGGTTCTTTTCTTATGGGATGTAAAAAATTACGGTCATAAAAACTATATCCAGCATCTGTCGCATTATCTTTAAACTTTTGTATAAATAAGTTATATCCACCATCCATTCCTAAACAATCTGCCTCACTTATTTTTTTATATAGTTTCATATTAATAAACATAGTACCATCATTTCCGATAGCACATTTTTCAGATACTGAAACATGTGTAATTATTTCATTCATATCCTGTATAACTTGTGTACGTACAGCTGGCCCTTTTAATTTATATAAATATAACTGTGAATGTGACTCATTTGGTTTATAATACTTTATTTTACTATCATGTCCATCAATAAATAGTGTAACATTCTTAAAACCATCTGGATTGTTTATTATTGCTGATAGAATGCGAATACGTGGTGATGAGAACATACTATCCAAATCTTGTTTTACCTTTTTATTCAATTCATTATAGTTAGTAATCCAGAACCGCTTATATAAATCATAAAATGTTGCATATGGCATAACAGTATGCATATCCTTTCCTGATACACCTGATACCATATGATATAATAATGCAAGTCCTTTTTCAATCTCGCGGTATGGCCCTGGATATTCAATATTTTTACATATAAAACTGTAAGAGCACCTGCAGCGGTCGCTGTTAAGAACCTGTTATGTTAAATTTAACAGTTTATTTAACAGCCAGACCTTGCAGCGGTTGCTGTTAACGTCCTGTTAAATTTAACAGCCCGAACAAAAACTGTTAAATTTAACAGTTTCTTGAATCGAGAAAAAGGACTTGAAAAATAAAGCTATATCTCACTTCATTCTTTGTTTGTATTCTTCAAATTGAACAACGCTACTTCTAACGCCACTCGCCTGTCTGACGTTTCTGCCGCTGCCCCCTGCTCAGGAGAAAGGGCAAAGCTTTCATTAAAACCAACGACGTGTGAAGTTAACAGCTTCGTAACAGTAACCGCTGCACGAAATGCCCTGTTAAGCTGTTACGCACTGTTAAGCGGGCTGTTAAACTCTGAAATTTAACAGTTTCGTAACAGCGACCGCTGCAGGTGCTCTAAGAAAATAAAATACAGGTATAAATCCAAATCTATAAAGTAATACATCCTTTATATCATTTATTGTATTATTCTTCATATCTTTAATAGCTGTTCTATGATTAAATCTATGTTGCATTTCAGGCCAAGATTTATCAAGAAAAGTCCATTTATTATCAATTAAATTTTTAATTTCAATATCGAGTTGTTCAGTGTGTTGTGTTGTGTTCATTTCTATTTGTTGTTATGTACTTTAAACAATCGCTCTTTTTTTTCTCGTGGGAGGCTACCAATATAAATAAAAAAATTCAATTTTTATTATTTTTATTGTAAATCAATAATTATTTCGGCCACTGATGGTTATACCGGTCATAGCAATTTTATTATCTATATTACAGCTAGTAGATTATAATTGGTTAGACAACTAATAGTAGGACGCCCTACAAGTTAGGAGATATCCAAAACCTAAATATATTGACATATTTTCTCAATCTACCTTATTTGGCAGACCTGTACTGTATTTATGGACATGACAAATAATAATATACAGATGGTTTTAATTGTCTAGATGATATGCATAAGAGAGGAAATAAACACTCGGCAATCGGTGAGGATGAAGAAAGATCATGATGTTTTTTTAGTTGGTTTTTGTTGGTTTAAACAATACTTTTTGCTTAATGGTTTGTTAAAAAGGATAAGCACTAAATTTATTATACAGGCAAAAAAGGAACCTTGTATATGTTACTTTGAAGGCATAGCTGGCAAAGGCGTGTAAATAAATCTAAAAAAAAGGAGAAACTTTTTCAAAGCATTAAAAAAACCATTACTTGATCCAATACAAAGGTTACACTGTAGGAAAATTCTTGTGAATTTTAAATTCTTGTAAACACTAAGTAAAGTAACAAGAATTCTTGTGGATTCTTGTGAATTTAAAGTAGCGATAAAGCGGTCACGCGTTCACAAGAAAA